TATAAAATCTCATTCAGTTATATCTTAGGGTACCACAGTTGATTAAAAAAAAGTTTCACAAATATAAGTATAATTGAACTTACATGAATACAAAAAGAAATTTAAAGAGAAAAGGGGGCGGGTACTGTGAACTAGGTGGAGGGAAGTGGTAGAAATGTCTTGAGGGTCACAGTGAGAACTTCTGCTGAGTGAGCTACAAAGAAAGGGGTGCATAGATGGGAGCAAGGTCCTGGGAGTGGAGATTACAGAAGGGTCATACACTTATTGATGGGCCTAGGACATGGTGTGCCATGTGTGTCACTCAGAGGGATACAGAGGGGAGGATAAAGGATGCCATAGAACTGAGAGGCCAGGATGTAGAAGGACGTTTGGGTGGGGGCTAAAACCACCTAGTAGGCAGATTCATCAGTGGGTTAAGTTGCTTCCCTCAAACCTGATAACCTGAGTTTGATATTTGGGATGCATATGGTGGAAGGAGAGCACGCCTACCAGTTGTCTTCTGATCTCCACACGTATATATTGTAGCATGCCAGCAGCCAACTTGGAGTCTGTCAGCATTTAGCTCTCCACTGAGGCAGAGGGGAGGTGGACCCCTTGTCTCTTCTCCACAGGAAAGCCCACTAGCTGAGTGTCCACTACACACACCCACAGCTCACAGCAAACATGACTCATAGCCCTTGCTTGTGGGGACTGACAGAGTAGCTGGCTTGGGGCTCCCTCTGGACATTTCCAAGCAAGTGAATTCCCTTGGAAAGAGTGTCCCTGTCTGTTAAAAAGCCTTTGGCCATGGATACGGAACATTAGGACTTACCAAGGGGCTGTGGAGCCTCCATTGTCAAGCTAGCATGACCCTGCCTGTCTCCAAGGAATTCTGTGTTAGGGTCGAGGTTCTCACATGGGCTGGCTAAGGTTGACTCAGGGAAGGTGCATGGTTCATTCCAGAACTGGGCAGGAGATGCAGGGCTGATTCAAACTCAGGCCCTGGGGCTGGAGTTTACATTTTTATCTACATGATGTCATCCCTGACATCATAAGCTCCGTGAGGACAGGGATGTACGTTAAACCCATTCATGAGAAGACTGTGATCTGACATTGTTCTTGGAAGTTAGCATGCCTCCTGTCCAGAATCAGCAGCCAGTGAATTTGTATGACTGGTGTGTCCACCTCCTCCCTGGCCCCTTCTTTCCCATCTCAGACCCCCAGTACTCTCACACCACCCTGGGCCCTTCCTATCCTTGGGAGCCTATTTCATCTTAAAGACATTGTGATTGTGATTTGTATTGACCGTGAGGAAAGCTGTTTATTTAACCTAATCTAATGGCCCTGTACTGGAGTGGAGGGTCATACCCCTGATCTTCATGGGTGTTTTGTGAGGGGAATAATAGACAAGTGGTTTCAGTTGGACTGGCCTAGGCTGTATGGGAACAATACTGACCATGACTAGTGATGATTAACCCTTAGTCCTGGCAGGGAGTACTCATATACCTGGCCCCAGAGGTGGGTTATGAGTTGGAGCCATGTAACTGTCTTCATCCCCTCATTGCTTCTGTAGATCATCCTGAACTTCACATCCATGGACCTATACCGTAGCCGCCTATGCTGGTATGATTACGTGGAGGTACGCGATGGCTTCTGGAGGAAGGCGCCCCTCCGAGGTAAAGGGCACAGGCCACTGGCCTCCTCAGCCCCTAGTTCCTTGTTAGAACATTCATCATCCTCTGGGGCCCAACACTCTATGAAGGTGACAGCCTAGTGTGAGATCTTCAAGCTCTGATGTAGTTTGTCCCAGTTAATTCCATCACTGACTAGTGGTGTGACAGTGGGCAGGTCTTGTCTGTGATTCAGTCTCTGAGTCCTCAGTATAGGCTTCTGGGCCTCCCTCAGGGGAGGGTGGGAGAGTCACAGGAGTCGAAAAAGATGTCTAGCAGGCTGTTCTGCACACCCTATAGCTCCAGGCTCACACCCTCATTGGAGCCATTTCAGAGGATTTCCTGTATTTGCAACTTTTGGATGCTTATGATATGAACTGGCTTAAAACCAATTGGGCAGGCTCTTAACTCACCCTTGAGGACTCTGGGAATGGAACAGTGGCCTGACCTGTTTGTTCTAGATATTTTGTCACTTGTAATATGTATGGGGGGGGCAGGATATGTGTGTGTGTGTGTGTGTGTGTGTGTATCTGTGTGTGCGTGTGTGTCTGTGTGTCTGTGTCTGTGTCTGTGTCTGTCTGTGGTGAGAGGAGCAAAAGGGGCCAAAGACATAGGGCAAAGCTATGCATAACGGTGCTGTACACCATTGGGAGTACACTGGGGAGACTGAGGCAGAAGGATCCAGAGTTTAAGGCTAGCTTGGGCTATGTAGCAAGACCCCTGTCTTAACAACAAAACCCAAAACACTACAGGACACAGATGCAGTTCAGGGCATAAAGAATTAGACAAAGCCAGTCTCTTGTCACCAGAGGACAGCCACATTAATCCTGAAAAGTTGTGTGGCACTGTTCATTGTCCCATTTGGATGTAATCCTAAGAGACTCAGGGCTGCACTCCCAGACTCAGCACCTTTGCCCCTTAGACTGCTGGGAAGACACAGGATGCATTTCCGATAACACACTCTTCCTCCATTTCTGATATACTAGTTCTGGTTAGTCATCTAAAGCAGCAGTTGTTACGACACTTCTTCTGCAGCGTGTTCGGTCTCCAAGACGACATTTTCTTTCTCATGACTGACATTCCTAGGCCAGCCTCCTCTGTGCCTTACTGAAAGTTGAGAAACACCCAATCTTACTAGAAACATACAAATCATCCCCAGTCAATTCTTGACTGCAAAGAATTCCACAGATGGCCAGCTTTACCCCTTGTGTTGTCTCTTGTTGGGTTTTATTTGAATGTGATTATTTTCTGGCCTTGTCCCCAGATTCTGGGGTTTGGGGTTCTAAAGGCAGCCCTGCATTGACCCATTGAAGGCATGCCTAGGAGAGCATGCTATAACAGTACATGCTGAGAAAATGTTTCCTCCTTGTTACTTTTTTGCACAGAGACCTCATAAAGAAAGGTCAGTAATGATGGTAACGTGTTCTTTTAAAAGGCCAGTAAACCTGGGGACTGGAGGGATGCTCAGTGGTTAAGAGCGCTGGCTGCTCTCGCAGAGAACCTGGGTTCAGTTCCCAGCACATGGCAACTAACAATTTTCTGTAACTCCAGTTCCAGGGGATCCAACGCCCTTTTCTGACCTCTGCTGGCATCACACAACACAGGTGCACATACACACATGCAGGCAATACACTCATACACATAAAAAAATTTTTTTTTTGCAAAACATAAAAATAAAAGACCAATAAAACTTTAATTCCAACATTTGGGAGGCTGAGATCAAGGAACCAAAAGTAAAGTTCAAGGCCAGAGGCTGGGGATGTAGCCCTGCTGGGAGGGTGCTTGACTAGCTGCACAAAGCCTTGAGTTCAATCCCTAGCACTGCATAAACTGGGTGCAGTGTCTCGTGCCTATAATCTCAGCACTGGGATTGTTGAACCAAAAGTTCAAGGCCAGTCTGGGCTATATCTTCAAACAAAAGAAGGTCATTAAGAAAGGAAACATATCATCCAACCATGTCCTGCCCCTTAAAGGGTCTCTAACTCTTCTGGTGGTCTTAGGAATATAAGTAGGATGGCTGCAGACTGGAGCCCTGAGCCCCCTGGGGCTTATATGAGCAGACATAGGGCTCAGGAGTCCTCTGTCCCCACTGTCTACAGGACGGTTCTGCGGGGGCAAACTCCCTGAACCCATCGTCTCCACCGACAGCCGCCTCTGGGTGGAATTTCGCAGCAGCAGCAATTGGGTCGGAAAGGGCTTCTTTGCAGTCTATGAAGGTACAGAGGGAGGGGAAAGGGGCCCATGGACATCCCAGAGCTACTCCCTCCTGGTGCCGCCAGGGTCCCATCTGTGGATCCTCCAGGGAGGAGGCAGAGAGACGGGTGGGATCAGCAGAGTGGGCATGGGGGAGTAGGGGTCGTGGGAAGGGCTGGAAGAGTGGGGAAGGAACACTTTAAGCAGGGCAGAAAATGACCACCATTCCCTCCCCACCCTGTGTTCCCAAAGCTATCTGTGGTGGTGATGTGAAAAAAGATAACGGCCACATCCAGTCACCCAATTACCCAGATGACTACCGGCCCAGCAAAGTCTGCATCTGGCGGATCCAGGTGTCCGAAGGCTTCCACGTGGGCCTCACGTTCCAGTCCTTTGAGGTAGTCACAGCCCCTGTGTTCCAACCCTCCAATGCCTCTGTTGGCCTCCAGGACAGCCTGTCTCCCTGCAGGCTCTAGGGACTGGGGTCCTGGCAGCCAGAGCTCCTTCCCCTGATGGAGCCTCCGACTCTTAGATTGAGCGTCATGACAGCTGTGCCTACGACTACTTGGAAGTTCGTGATGGGCACAGTGAGAGCAGCAACCTCATTGGGCGCTACTGCGGCTATGAGAAGCCCGATGACATCAAAAGCACATCTAGCCGTCTCTGGCTCAAGTTCGTCTCCGATGGATCCATTAACAAAGCTGGCTTCGCAGTCAATTTTTTCAAAGGTACCTGCTCCCCTGTCTCAACTCCCCTTGGGTGGTCATCAAGCTCCTTCATTCCTTCATCATTCATTTATTCAGTGTGGAAAAATGAAGGACGTAATGGCCGCAGCACTAGGGCATGCTATTAAAGATGCTGTAGACAAACAGGAGAAAAGGTCAATCCTGTGAGGTGCAGAGCTGTGGATTTTTTTTTTTTTATCAGTGTGATCTACAGCACAGTAGTCCCCAAGCCCCAGTTCCTCACCTATACAGTGGGCACCATAACTGCCCCCATCCTAAGGTGTCATGAAGTTAATGAAGGAGAAACGAGAGGACTGTATTTGGCAGGGACTGTGCACAGGAAGTGGTGGCAGCTGCCAGCCAGCCCCTATGCCCAGAAGGAAGGCTTCACAGGTTATTCTTGTGGGGTTCTAAGCTGTCATGGTGACCAGGGGGCTGGCTGGCTGAGCAGACAAATGAGGCTTCTAGCTGAATTTCCCCCTGCTATGGGAGTGGGCTTCAGGAGCCCTGGAGAACCCTGGGTTTGACCCCCAAGCACAGAGCAAGAAGAAGGAGCAAGGCCTGGCCTGGGTTCTGTGACACCTCTTCCTTCCCCACAGAGGTGGATGAATGCTCACGGCCCAACCGTGGAGGCTGTGAGCAGCGGTGCCTGAACACCCTGGGCAGCTACAAGTGCAGCTGTGACCCGGGGTACGAGCTGGCCCCCGACAAGCGCCGATGTGAGGGTGAGTGCCTGCAGTGCCTCTGGATCACTGGCCCTTTGCCTTTGTATAGTCCCATCCTTGGGCAATCTGAAGGGGTTTCCTAGCACCCCTCCCAACTACAGGTGAGACACAGAACACTTGAGTGTGAGGTACACTGGCTGCAGGGGTTTTATTCTGACTCCTTTGTTAATGCTGATCTTGACCTAGTAATTAATGTCATTACCCTCTCCACAATTTGGAAGCCACTGTTTTGGGACAGACTATCTCAGCCTCTATGCTGGTGACGGTACTTCAGGATAACAGCTCCAGGGTGGGATCTTTCTGTGTCTCTGAGAAGCCACTCTTAGTACCTCCCAGGACTTCCCACTTGCACCACTCCTTGTCCCCTCTTGACCCTTTCCAGAAGATTTCTGGCCCATTCTTGAGCAGAAGTGATGGACATGGCTATACATGTGCGTCCCCCACCACTCCTCCTCTTCCTCCTCTGGGCTCACCTCCAGAGAGGCCCCACAACTCTCACTTGTCTCCTCCTGTCTGTCCCACACCTCTGTGTTAGATACACACACACACACACACACACACACACACACACACACCCATCTCCTGACTACACCCCAACCTAGGCCTAAGGCCCTTCTCTAGTCCTGGTCAATAAGACCACCTCCCTTGTTCCTTCAGCTGCCTGTGGTGGATTCCTCACCAAGCTCAACGGCTCCATCACCAGCCCAGGCTGGCCTAAGGAATACCCTCCCAACAAAAACTGCATCTGGCAGTTGGTGGCCCCTACCCAGTACCGTATCTCCTTGCAGTTTGACTTCTTTGAGACGGAGGGCAATGACGTAAGTGCCCTTTCAGCCAAGGTGGGCAGGAAGGTGTGGGGCACAGGGACTCAGCTCAGTGCTGGCCTCCTCCCATTGGGAGAGATTCAGATACAAAGATTCTGAAAACAAAGAGGAGGAGACTTGGGAGACTTGAGAGGCCTTGAAGGAGTGTCTGCAGGTGAGACTGGGCATCGAGTTGGAAGCCTATGGAGTGAGGCAGGGCTTGGGGCCAGCCACCCTGGGGCTTTGTGGTGCACACAGGAGAATATGATGGGGGAGCGGCTGTTTAGCCTGGCAGCTTTATAGGGAGGGAGTGGTCACCAGAGGCTTCCTGGAGGAGGCAGCCAGAGTTGGACTCCCCCTGCAGGTATGCAAGTATGACTTTGTGGAGGTACGCAGTGGACTCACGGCTGACTCTAAGCTGCATGGCAAGTTCTGTGGCTCTGAGAAACCAGAAGTCATCACTTCCCAATACAACAACATGCGTGTGGAATTCAAGTCCGACAATACTGTATCCAAAAAGGGCTTCAAGGCCCACTTCTTCTCAGGTAATACTGGATTCCCTGGCTTCTAGCCCTAATTCCCACAAAGGATGGGGCTTCCCTGCCCCTCCATTCCAGTCCTTGGCAGCCCTATCTAGTGCCTGGCCTGCCCCCTGCTTCTTCAGTTCACCATCTACCACTACACCAGTCCCTGGGACATCTGAATCTCTTTACTCTGAGTCCTTAAGACCTTAGTTGTGCCAGGCCTAGGGCAGAGCAGAGCATTGGAGTACAGAAATGAAGGGAGAGGGTGTTCCAGATATCAGGAGCTTGTAAGCCAAGGCCTGAGAGGGCAGGCCCTGGAACAGGGAGTTCAGTTGCCTGAAAACTCAGGGTCAGTGGAGAAGAGGAGCCTGTTTGCCTTGGACCATGTAGGGCAGATTATCTGGTAGCAGCTGGGCTTCTAATCAAACCCTGCCCAGCCCACTGGGTTCATGCTGGGCCTTCTACTAAGAGAAGTCACTTCCGCCCTTCAGTACCAAAGCCGCCCACTCCCCTGCCCATGGGTGGGGACTGGGTCCTTTAACACAGTCAACCAAGTGCTGCAGCATGGAAGGCCTGGCCTCATTCATTCCTTGGCCTCATCTAGCCCTTCTGAAGGCCCTCTCTGGGTGGTCCAAACCCATCTTCCCCCAAGTTGGACCTCCAGGGTCTTGGGAGACCTTTCCCCTGCCTTAGGAATCCCTAAGTCTTTGGCCCCAGGCTAGTGTGAGGTAGCTGGTGCCTCTAGAGGCAAAAGGGCCCAGCCCCAGCAGGGAAGGGAGGGACGGCTCCACAGTGGAGTGTGGAGAGAGCCAGAAGTTGGTGGGCTGACTACAGCAGATGGCTTTGTGGAGGAGTGATAGGGACTCTCACCCCAACTTCTGGTGGGGTGGGCCTAGGGGGGCCAGGAAGCAGGAAACCCATGACTTTGTCCACGCCGCCTCCCTTCTCCCCTCCTCACCCAGGGTCCTGCATCCTCCAGCCCCCATGTGGCTGCCCTGCACCCTTGCCTGTCCTACCTGGATGCCATGCACCCGTCCCCATGCACTGGTTCCCTGCTTGGCACTGCCAGCTGCCCTACTCTGCTTAATGTTGAGCTGCTGCCCAGCCCTCTGCCACACTGCTTGCCGAGGCCCTCCCCCTGTAACACCAAGCCCTCCTTCCCTGGGCCAACCTACAAGTCCTACAAGGTGCTTTCCAGAGGGCTGAGGGGATGTAATATTGCCAGTGTGGGCTCTTCCCCAGAGAAACCATTACCTGCTTACTTTTGTCTATTCTGCCCTTTTCTTGCTCCAGTCTCGGAAGGGACAGGGGTGATACTCACATCTGTCCGGAGTTACTGCCTTACCTCCCCATCTCCTACATAACACTCAGCCCTGCACACACATGCACACATACGTGCACACACACATACATTCACTGCCCCCGTTGCACAAGAAAACCTGCAGAGGACCCTCACCGGTGGGCATCAAAGTTCAGCCTCAGGGCCTGGGGCATCTGACTCTGGTCCCCAGGAGGGGGCTGTGTGGACTTTTGGGACACCCATCGAGGAGACCCTAAGCCAAGAAGGAGAAGCGAGAGCCTGAAGACCTTCGGTCTGACCCCAGCACCTTCGGGGCATTTGGGCACTGTAGGGTGAGTGCCATCTCCTTGTTGGGGTCCATGCCACCTCCCCTCCCCTCACCCCCCTGCAGTTTGTTCTCCAGTCACTGAGGTGAGCCATCTACTCCCCAAGGTGTGCCAGAGCCCTGTCTCGGATACTGAGGCAGCCATCCTCAGAAGTGACTTTCCCTCACTTATTTCTTTAGCCATTCACTTACCATTGATTTGGCTTTTATTTTACCCCAGCTGTGTTCTACACACTACGCTAGGTGTCTGGGAAGCAAATATGAAGAAGGCACAGGGGTCCAAACATGCTAGGGAAGTCTTTGGTCCATGAGCTGCGCTCTTGCAGTGTCCAGCATAATCCTGGGCAACCAACATTCACCTCAGGGGATTTCTTACAGACTAGTGCAAAGACAGCTTCCTTGGGTCCTCAGTCAGGTTCTCTGATGTTCAGAGAAGGAGCCCTTGGGAAGGGACTTGACTTCACCTCTTAGCCCCATGCTCCCTTGGACTCTTGATGGGTCTGGCCCACCTGAGCCTGGGTGGGAAAAGCAGGGCCTTCTGGGAGCCAGTGCTCTAGCCTTCAGGCTCTTCTCCTGAGGGAAACTAGGAACAGGGTTACCCTATCACAGACTGCTCTGGCCTAGGGAATGCCAGTAGCCATCTTTCCACTTCATGGTTCATCTCTGGAATTCTGGGTGTTCATTGGAATCCACATACCTCCTGAGCGCCTGCTTCCATGTCAGGCATACCATCCCCGAAATGATCACCAACTTAGAACACAGGTTGTGGCTTGTGACTGCATCTTTGCAAGCACTCACATGTGCATGTCTGTGTGTGTATGTGCATGCATGTATGTGAGGGGGCCTGCCAGCATGTAAGCAACTCCATGTGTGAGTGGGCTGCTGATGGGCACAGGCACATCTGCATGGATGTGTGTTTACTTCCACATCTAGGTCCTCAAGTCCCCACATATGTGGGTGTGTCTGTCTCCCTGTAGTGTCTGTGCCTGTGTTTCTATCTGCATATGCTTACACACACATATATGGTAGTAAGTCGTGTGGGTCTTGTGTGCGCACCCACACACAGATGGGTGGATAGGTGGTATGTGCATGGCTGAGTCTTTGCTTCTGCATCTGCATGGTATACTGTAGGAGTCTGTGTTTGTGAGGCCTGTCACATATACTTGTTTGTCTATGTTTCCATATGTTCCTCCATACACAGGGCTGTGTGGGGGTGCCTGTGTCTGTGGCTGTGTCCATGTGAGCATGTGTCTGTGTCTCACACACTCTGTATGCAGCTGTTAGAATGAGAGGGCGAGCAGGGCTCTAACCCTCTCCACACATAGCTCCCTTTCACCAATGACTTTCAGTTTCTCTTCTCCAACATGTACACATCAGAGCGTGTCATCCCTCCAGCCCTTCTCCCTGCCACAGGCTCAGTCTTGTCCCCTGTTGCTGTGCCTCCTCCCACTTGCTAACCCAGCCTTAGTGACATGGCTGTCCTGCATGTGGGTCCACCTGCCCTCCTGCCCCATCCTTCCCTGCCAATGGTCTCAAGGCCCTGGGTCTGGTTTTCACTGCTTTCCCTCCCTGGTCCCTGCCCTCCACCCCCACCCCTTGGTCCCTTTTCTCCTTCTCTTTCTCGTTTCAGAAAAGAGGCCAGCTCTGCAGCCCCCTCGGGGACGCCCCCACCAGCTCAAATTCCGGGTGCAGAAAAGAAACCGGACCCCCCAGTGAGGCCTGCCAGGCCTCCCAGACCCTTCATTACTCAGGAAGCTCACCTCGGATGGAGTGGGCTGGGGGCTTCGGAGCCCACCCACCCCCTGCCTCCACTCTGCCATTCCGGCCACCTCCTCTGGCTGGACAGAACTGGTGCTCTCCTCTACCCCTGTCCCCCTCAGCCGACAGGGGAACCTTCCCCACCCCCTCCCATTTTGATGGTGTCTGTGACATTTCCTGTTGTGAAGTAAAAGAGGGACCCCTGCGTCCTGCTCCTTTCTCTTGCAGTCTGCTTGTCCGTGTGTCTGTTTTTCCACTTGTCCGTCTGTCCAGTAAGCAGGTAATGGTAGAGGTCCCCATTCTGGTCAGCTCCAGACCCCAGCCCTCCCTCCACCCACTTCTGCCCACCTCTACCTTCTCTGCCCACAGCGGGGTGGGCACCACTCAGCTGGCTCCCCTGATGCAGTGTCCAGAATCCCATCATCGCCTTGATCTCCCACTCCCCACCCAGCTCTGCTGGCTGTCACTGGCTCCTGCACACTTCCTCCCACTGGGAGGAAGCCCAGCCAGGCCTCCTGCTTCCCCCAGCGTGACCAGACCTCAGCCCACACTGACCCACTGCTCTTATTTGCTCCCCTGCAGACAAGGATGAGTGTTCCAAGGACAATGGTGGCTGCCAGCAAGACTGCGTGAACACGTTTGGCAGCTATGAGTGTCAGTGTCGCAGCGGCTTCGTCCTCCATGACAACAAACATGACTGCAAGGAAGGTAAGGCCTGCACAGAATCTGAGAGTAATGGAGAGGGTGACCAGATCTTGCCGTGCACCTTGCACTGCGCAGGGACATCCTGGGGGAATGGAAGGCTGGCAGCACCATCTTCACTGGCCTCCATTTCCTCATGGAACCAGGGGTCACTGCCTGCGGCCAGTGTATTTCACCTCCCAGCCCATGCATAGGTGGCCCTCCGTTCCTGTGGTACCCAGGTCATACACACTGGTACTTCTCGCCCGTCCACATCAGGAGAGGAACTCTCAGCTGCTGAATGTCCATTCCTGGGCTCTTAGAATAAGGCTCCAAGTCTTTCTGTTTGTCATGGCCCCCTTCTGTCATGAAGAAGAGAGAGAATGGTGTTAAGAGCACAGACTTTGGAACAAGGTTACCTGGATCTGTTACTTAGCTAGAGATGTGCCCTTGAGTGAATGCTTACTCATTCTGTGCCTGGATGCTTTGTGTATACAATGAAGATCATGTTCATAACTATGTTAGAGGGGTGCTAGGAAACCATGAAGTGCTCTGAGCAACCACAGTTGTATGCATTACCAGGATTGGTCACACTTCTCACCCATAGGAGCACACAGAGGAGGGCTGCTGCTTTCCTGACCTTGAAGCCCTGAACATACATGTTAAGCACCCCTATTCAGAAAATTCAAACCTCAAATGTTCTAAAACCTGAAACTTTTTGAACACTAACATGATGCCACAAATGGAAGATTCTGTTCCCGACCTCACATGATAGACTGTAAGCAAAACACAAGCACACTAAAAATATTATGTAAAAATATTTTCAGGGGGCAATGAGATGGTGCACCGGGTAAAGGTATTTGCTATGCAAGCCTGACAACCTAAATTTGATCCCCAGAACCCAAGTAAAAGTAGAAGGAGAGAACCGACTCCACAAAATTGTCCTCTCACCTCCATACATGTGCCGTGGCATGCACACATCCATATATACATTACACAAACCAATAATACTAATTTTTTAAAATACCTTAATGCCAGGCATGATGGTGTGCATCTTTAATCCTAGCCCCTGGGAGGCAGAGGCAGGCAGATCTTTGTGAGATACAGGTCAGCCTGGTCCACAAAGTAAAACTTCCAGGCAGGCTGGGACTAAGAATACCCTGTTCAAAAAAGCCAAAACCAAGAAAAATCAAAACAACAAAAATAACTTCAGGCTATGTGTATAAGGTGTATATGAAATATGAATGACTTTAGTTTAGGCTTGGGTTCCATTCTAAGATAACTCATTATCTGCATGCAGTTACCTACATTCCAATATTGGAAACACTTTTGGTCCCAAGCATTTTGGATAAGGGATATTCAGTCTACTTAAAGACAGCTCTCTTCCCATCACTCACAGCATCCAACGCCTCTTTGAACATGATACAACACTGCTCCAACTCATTAATTCCATGCCATGTCCCTTGAACAGACACAACTCTAGCAGTCTAACAGGCCTGCTTGTACCACTGAATGTTTGTGTGACTTAGGGTGAATCATTTCACCTCTCTGAGCTTATTTCTTCATCCATTACATGATAAACAAACAAAATCCTACTCTTCAGAGTGCTAAGCTTTATTGCCCTTACTCTGAGCACTGAACACAGTACCTGGTAAGTGACTCTTCACTACATTAAGTGGACAAGCCAAGTATAAGTAAGTTTCTGAGCAGAACTGAAGCACCCGATGAACCTGTGGGAAATTGAGAGCTTCCACCAGCCACTCAGGGTGCCAAGGTATGGAGCATCTGCCTTACAGCGCCTACTTTTAGTTAGCAGAAGCCTTGTTCTGAGGTTGTCTAAAATGCACTCTGTTTATATAGTCTAAGTGGAAAGATTTGGGTAAGGAAGCCAGACCAGGCCTTCTTGAAAGGGGAAGGGCTCATCTTTTTTTTAAAAAAATATTTACTTATTTAATTTTTTATGTATATGAGAGTTTTGTCTGCATGTATGTAGGCACATATGTGCAGTGCTGTGGAGGTCAGAAGAGGTCGTCAGATCCCCTGGAACTAGAGTTACAAATGGTTGTTAGTTGCCATGTGGGTGCTGGGAACTGAACCTGGGTCCTCTGCAAGAGCAGTCAGTATTCTTAATTCCTGAACCATCTCTCCAGACCCTTATCTGCTCATCTTCTGGTTGGTTCTCTTGGAAACAGTCCTGGTCCCTCACTCAGGGTTAGGCTGATGGTAGATCAGATCACATCTCTAGCCCCCAATGGAGAATCCAGTGCTGTGCAGAAGGGAAGGCACGCAGACGTTAAGCTGAGGAGAGACATGGGGTGCAAAGAATGCAGAGCAGGGAAGCCAGTGTGGAGTTGGGGACGGCAGAGTGGACATAAGAAGCTGCAGGCGAGGGATGGGGACAGCCCACATCTCAACAGTAGAGAGACAGGCCTTGAGCTGTCTGTACCAGGGACTCAGAGTTTTCTGAGCGTTGGATTCTAATCTCAGTGTGTGGCCTTTGTCTGCCCATCCCTCTTTTCTCCCTAGCCTCATAACTGGCTGTCTGCTTTCTGTGTTAGTCAGCTTTGCATCACCCCTAACTATCTGAAGAAAACTTAAAGAAGGAAAGATTTATTTTGGCTCACAATTTCAGAGGGTTTGGTTCATAGTTGCTTAGTTCCATCACTTTGAACTTGAGATAAGGCCCAAATCATGGCAGACAGTGCATGATGGAGTGTCAAGCAAAGCTGCTCAGCTTGTGACTGGGAAGGGGAGGAGGTGGAGAAGCAATGGCCAGGGATGAGATCCACCCTTCAAGGGCACACCCTCTGTGATGTACTTCCTCCAACTTGGCTCCACCTCCTAGAGTTTCCACCCTCTCCCAATAGTCCATTCAGTTATGAGCCCATCAGTTGATTAATCCATTGATGAGATCAGAGCCTTCATGATCCAGTGACATTCACCAAATCCACATTGCATGGGGCTAAAGCCTGCATCTCATGAGTGCTTAGATGACATTTTAGATCTTTTTTAAAAAATATTTTATTTATTATTTTTATTTTATGTGTATGAGTGTATTGCCTGCATGTATCTGAGTGCACCCGCGTTGTGCAATGCTTCGGAGGTCAGAAGAGGACTTCAGATTCCCCTGGAACTAGAGAGTTAAGGATGGTTCATAGCCGCCATGTGGGTGCTGGGAATCGAACCTGGGTCCTCTGTAAAAGCAATCAGTGCTCTTTACTGCTGAGCCATCTTTCCAGCCCTGACATTTTAGATCTTAACCATAGTGTTTGCCCTTGAAGGTCCTGCTAGTGTCCGATCATGAACGGTGATTATTGGCTTTTGTTTTGTCCAGGCTAGTCTTGACCTCATAGCAATGATCATCAGCTTTTACATGTATATTTGGGATGTCACGCTTTGAGTGGAAGTCAGATTACTGTAGACGGAGGAGGTATAGGTAGTGAGAATGTGTGGCAGAAGCTAGAGAGCCTAGAAGAACATGGGGAGGCACTTCAGGATGTGCTGAGTTCGGGACTGCAGAGCTGGGAGACAGTGGCCATGGGTCCTCTGTGGTGTGAGAGTTCCTGGACTATTGTCCTCTTCTGAAAGGACAGTCCATCCTCACGGAGAGGAAGGGTACCTCCTCAGAGGCCCCAGAGTAGGAGGAAAGGGAAGGCAGGGAAAGTTCCCATCTGAGGGCCTTATTTCTTCAGGAGGTGGGAGGAGGGCTGATGGTCTGCTGCTGGAAGGAAACGTGGTTGAGACAGTTGCCTGAGGAGAAGGCTGAAGGTTTCAAACAGTTCCTGAGAGATGGAAGTGGTAAAAGATAAATGAAATAGGTATCTGGTGGTCTGGGGGCCCACGACTCCCCAAATTGGATTTCTTTCTATTTTTTTTATTTTTTGTGTGTATGTGTTCAAGTGTGTGTGTGGCATGTGCTTGCATGTGTGTGCATATGCAAGTGGAAAACAGAGGCTGATGTTGTGTGTCTTCCTCAGTTACTCTCCACCACATTTTTTTTTCCACTATCATCCACCACATTTTTTGAGACAGTGTTTTCCACTGAGCCTAGAGCTCAATGAATTGGCTAGACAAACTGACCAACAAGCTTCAAGGATCCTCCTGTCTCTGCCTCACAGTACTAGGATTATAGGTTTGTACTTCTGCACCTGAGTCTTATGTGAGTGCTGGGGATCAAACTCATATTGTCATGTTTGCACAGCAAACTACTAACTGAGCCATCCCTCTAGCCCATTTTTTATATTTAATTTCATTTTTGTAACATTGGGTATTGAACCTAGAACCCTGTACCTGCCAGGCTACAGCCCCAGCCTTCTTTTTATGTTTTATTTTGAGACCTCTCTTTAAGTTGTCCATCTGGCCTTGAACTCACTCTGTAGCCAAGGCTGACCTTGAACTTGGGATCCTCCTGCCTCAGCCTCCCAAATAGCTGGAATTACAGCCCAACTGTAATTCTAGATAGAGTGATAAAGCGAAGGGGAACCAAGCCAGTATGGGTATCACTCGTGAAATCCAGCTACAGAGGGAAATCAGCTAATTCTGCCATTAGAGGAAGCTAGCTCTCTAGGTCTGTGGGTTCCTTGTCTGAATTCAGCCAACCTCAGTTTGAGAATACAGTGAGTCCTAAAATGGTTCAATCTGTATTAATGTGTGCAGATTTTTTTCTTGTTGTTATTTCCTAAACAGTGTAGTGTATCACTGGACATAGTGGTAGACACCTGTAATCCCAGTACTCAAGAGGCAGACATAAAAAGATTATGTGTTGGAACCTGCCTAAGTTACACAGAAAACCTGTCTCAAAAAAAGGGGAAAGGCTAGAGAGATGTCTCAGTGGTTAAGAGCTACACATAAAATAAAAATAAATAAATAAAATTTAAAAATCAACATGTCAACATTTACATTGTGTTAGGTCTTATAAAGACCCAAGAGATGATTTAGAGTAGATAGGAGGGGCTGAGGATGCAGCTTAGTTGATAGAGCACACGCAAAGCCCTGGGTTCAATTATCACAACCATACAAACTGGGCCTGGTGGCTCATGCCTATAATCCTAGAACTCAGGAGCTGAAGGTAGGATAATCAGAAGTTCAAGGTCATCCTTAGCTACATGACAGGCTTGAGGCCAGCTTGGGCTACATGAGACACTGTCTTGAAAGAATCAAAGAAGGGGCTGGAGAAGTAACTCAGCAATTAAGAGCACTGGCTGCTCTTGCAGAGGACCCTGGTTAAGTTCCCAGCACTGACATAGCAGCTAACAACTGTCTCTATCTCTAGTTCCAGAGGCTCCAACACCCTCTTCTGTCCACTGTGGACACTGCACATTTGTGGTGCACTTACGTACATGCAGGCAAAAACACTTATGCACACAAAATAAAAATAAAGAAAGAATGGGTTTTTTTAAAGGGAAGGAAGGAGAAAGAGGGAGGGAGGGAGGGAAAGAGAGAAGAAAAGAGAACAGAAGGATGTGTGTGGGTTCTATGCAACTACAACACTCTTTTGTATAAGAGATTTGAGCATTGTGGATTTGGGTAGCAGTGAGGGGTCCTAGATCATATCCCCTATGGATACCGAGGGACATCTATAAACAGAGAGAGCAAACAGTAGAGGTCTCGGTATAGTGGAATACCCATTTTGAGGAAAGTGAAGGCCTGAGCACACTCAGAAAAAAAAAAAAAAAAGATGGTCGCCACCAAGAGGGTCATGCATTGCTGGTAAAACCAAGGTACACTTGTGAGGAGAAAGAGAAAAACCAGCAGAGCTGAGAAAGCCAGAGGTCAGAAAGGCTGTGACAGGCTGGCCAGCTGTTTAGGAGTAAGGATGGGGATGACTGGATTAGGTGCCAAAGTCTCTGTGACTACTGCCGCTTCCGGGGCCCAGTGGATGACATAGCCTCACACATAACACACAAAGTTTCCCAGGCTGTAGAGTGGAGAAGAGAGCAACAGGGAGACACTTTGGTGTGAGAGCTCCCAGGCAGAGGTGGTGTGGCCAGATGGTCACAAAAAGGTGGAAGACTTACTTACTCAAGGTGGGGTGCTTACCCATTTGCTGCCACTGGGGGCCTCAGTGAGGAACCAGGAAGTTAGATTCTCCCCCAGATGAGTAACAGAACGAAGAAGAAATGATGCCTGTCTTAAGTCCATTTTTTAAATGGAGCACAGGAGACAGCAAAGGAGGGGGCAGGAGGGAAGGGCCTTCTTCACAGGGCATCTGAACGTGAGGTCCCTGGTGATCCCCTTCCATCTCTCACATCTCACTCACAGCCGGCTGTGACCACAAGGTGACATCTACCAGTGGCACCATCACCAGCCCCAACTGGCCTGACAAATACCCCAGCAAGAAGGAATGCACGTGGGCTATCTCCAGCACCCCTGGGCATCGGGTCAAGCTGGTAAGACAGCCTGTATGGGCACCCTGTTCCTCCATGCCATGTGGTCACTTGTGTCTGCCATCTGCCATGATCTGTGTGAATTAGAGGTACTGGCTATAGACGGGACTGACTGACTAAGCCCTGCCGTACCCATCAATGTGAGGACAAGTCTTACTGGTCAGAAGCCCTCTTTCCTTATCAGGGGGTGTCTCTGGCACTGCCCTGAGTCCTTGCTCACCATCATTACCCACTGTGGTTGCTAAAATAGTTGTGTATGAGTTGGGGTCTGGAGGTATAGATTTGGGGATCCTTGCTGCAGCCACCCCCAACCACGCCTCTAATCTGTTCTCTCTTCTGCTCTCCAGACCTTCATGGAGATGGACATTGAGTCTCAGCCCGAGTGTGCTTATGACCACCTTGAGGTGTTTGATGGGCGTGACACCAAGGCACCAGTCCTCGGCCGTTTCTGTGGCAGCAAGAAGCCAGAACCTGTCCTGGCTACAGGCAGTCGCATGTTCCTGCGCTTCTACTCGGACAACTCTGTACAGAGGAAAGGCTTCCAGGCATCTCATTCCACAGGTAAGGGCAGCCTCAGGCCAGATGCTCCCTGCACATTGCCATTTGCTCAACATGTATTGCTGATCCTGTTTCCAAGCCTAGCTTTGAGTTTACAAAGGGCTTTTGAAGTGGGATCTTGTGAAATTTCCCCCGTCCACATTGGCATGTCAACTGGCTTTGTTGTTTTGCAGATTTTGTTAGGCTACCATACAGTAGAGATTTCACTGGTGTAGCCCCCTATCATGCCTAGAATGCGTATTAGCTAGCAGCAGGTGTCTTGTCCCTTTGGCTCCTACAGTCTTTCTGCCCCCTCTTCTGCAGCGTTCCCTGAGCCTTGGGCATAGAGATTGCATTGTAGATGTGTCACTCAGGACTATGTACCTCAGAGTCATTTATCCTCTGTTTCTGTCTAGTTGTGGAACCTTGTAATAGTCTCCATCTGTTGAAGACTGCATGAACAGAACCCTGTGGCCCCAGGGTCAGTAGTTGTTCTGAGAACTGGTCAGCAGAGTGAACACTGAGGAGTGGGGAAGAAGTCATAAGGGTTACAAAAGTCAGAAAGCAGGGCACAGTGACAGTGACCTGGGGAAGGGGTGGTTAAGGAACCTGGAAATGGGAAGTGCATCCCTGATTGTCCCCACTGTTGCATAATTAGTGACACATCAGCCTCGGCCCACCCATACTCCATCCCCTATAATGTACTTGCTCATTTAATTCCACAGATATTTATTAGCATGTAAGTGTGTGAGGCAGCATTCTAAGTGCAGGTCAGAAAATGAGCCTAGCCGTTAAAAGATCCCAGCTCATGAGGAGCTTGGTCTTCATCATTTGTTTATTTGACCACTATAGAGCTGTGCCTGTCTCAAAAGACCAGAGGGCATGGGGAGATGAATCAGACACAAGCTTTTACCCCACCCACCCCAGGAACTTCTCCATCCAGGAGAGAAATAAGCCAGGCATGCATAATCACTGCAGGATACAAAAGGTGACATGGGCAAAAAGAAAGGAGCCTGACAGGAGAGCTAGTAGAGTCACTGGGGGTGAGGCTGGGGGACTGGAACTCCAGCACAGCTCAGGGTGTACACTGGTGACAGCAAGCCTCCAGGTCTGGGTGAAGCACGCAGGGTGTGAGGATGGCAGTGGGAACCATGTGGCTGCAGAGAGAGGCTAGAACCCAGTTCTGGAGGCCAGTGTGCAGGGCAACGATGCGAGTTGCAAGCTTCATAGCCTCTTGGGTGGGTCCTGAGTCACTTGTGGGGTGTCCCCAGAACTGGTGGGCCCACAGCCTGCCTTCCTGCCCTTTACCTCCGTCCTGACCAAGGTCTTGCTTGGCTCCCTTCTCACCCCTTCCAGAGCCCCTGAACACAGTGTTCAGGAGGAAGGCCAAGGATATCCAGAGGAGGATGGTCATGATGCATGCTGTTTGCCTTGCCCAACACAAGGTCACAAACCAGAAGCTGGAACTCTATCTGGCTTGCAGCCCTCAACATTTGACCCACAGTCTTGTGTTTTCTTATTTTTAAACTTGAACCAACACTTAAAAAGCAGTTTGCACATAAAACCCAGGTGTATAACTTCTCTCTTGAACGTGGAAAGCTCTGGTAATGTGTGGCCACATTCTTCCACAACAGCCCTCAACTGGAGCACAGGAGCAATTCCTTTTCAGATAAAGCACATCTTTCCCAACTCTATTACCCGTGCAACCTCTTCCTCAGGGTGCCTCACCCCAGAGTGTCCCCTGGCCTCTTCTTTAGGCCTCTGTCCAGAGGTGGCATAGTAGGCACTTTCTTAAGGCTGTCTTAGGTCAGGTCCCACCCATCACTGGCCACAGGCATCTCTACCCAGAATTCATCTGTCTGTGGTTCTGGGTGGTGCTGCACAGTGCTCTACCTGTGGCGGTACTCATGGATGGTGGTCGATCTTGTCATGCCCTACAGAGTGTGGAGGCCAAGTTCGAGCAGATGTGAAGACCAAAGACCTTTATTCCCATGCCCAGTTTGGTGACAACAACTACCCTGGAGGGGTGGACTGCGAGTGGGTCATTGTGGCTGAGGAGGGCTATGGTGTAGAACTGGTGTTCCAGACCTTCGAGGTGGAGGAAGAGACCGACTGTGGCTATGACTACATGGAGCTCTTTGATGGCTACGACAGCACAGCCCCAAGACTGGGGCGCTACTGTGGCTCTGGGGTGAGCACCCTCCTGGCCCCATACCTCACACTGCCCTGAGACCCTCATCCTAATCTTGAGACCCAAGATGATACAGCCAGTGCCCCTAAGAGGCCTAGAGTGCTAGGCTGAGTGGCAGTCCATGTCTGGCCTTCTGCAGAAGCTAGAATGCTCAGCCTGGGGACACTCAGAGAGGCCACCATACCCTGGGCCATTCCTACCCAAGAAACGGGGATCTTTTCCAGACAATGTAGAAGTTTCCACAGTCTCTGGCCTGTGCCCCACCGTGACCTAGGCCTACTCCAGAACAGTTTGGTTTGGCCTGCAGGGTTGTATGTGTCTCAGAGTGGTGGTGGGGGGGATGACAGAGTTCTCCCTGAACCACTCAACCCCTGGCCCTTGGCCCCACAGTCTAAACTGGGGGGGGGGGGGTGGCAGAGGTTAGGGCCAGAACCAGGGACAGAGGACCTTGCTCTAAACACCCTCATCTTTTCCTCTACCTGTCTTTCCCCTGGTGAGAGATCAGTGAGAGCCAAAACTATTGTTGCTGCTGTCCAAGCAGGTTCTGGGCTTTAGTTTTCATTCTTTTTCTTTCTTTCTTTATTTATTTTTTTTTTGGTCTTTTTGAGACAGGGTCTCCCTGTAGCCCCAGCTGTCCTGGAACTCACTATGTAGACCAGGCTGGCCTTGAACTCACAGAGATCCGCCTCCCTCTGCCTCCCAAGTGCTGGGACTAAAGGTGTGTGCCACCACACCCAGCCTCAAATACTTTTCTAGTTTCCTTTCTGTTCTTGTGATAAAATACCTGACCAAAAGCAACTTGGGGAGGAAAGGATTTATTTGGCTTTACAGTCTGTCATTAGGGCTTTAGTTTTCATTCTTTTTCTTTCTTTCTTTATTTATTTTTTTTTTGGTCTTTTTGAGACAGGGTCTCCCTGTAGCCCCAGCTGTCCTGGAACTCACTATGTAGACCAGGCTGGCCTTGAACTCACAGAGATCCGCCTCCCTCTGCCTCCCAAGTGCTGGGATTGAAGGCACGTGCCACCACACCTGGCTAGCTCTCATTCTTTAAGAGAGCACTTGGAGAAGCTGTGGGTACAGACACTTTTGCCAGCTTATATAACCAAGGCCAAGCCTAGCGCATTATCCTTCCCCAGCTCTATCTCACACACACATGCACAGACTTTCTCACAAGTGTTCACACTCACACGCACATTCTGATGCAGTGTCTGGCTCCTGCCTCTGGTTTCTCTTATGCTGCCCCAAGAAGGGTTAAACTTCCCAGAAGCAGTCTCAGCTGCAGGGTCCAGAGGCCGAGTTTCAGCCTTGTGTGAGCAGCAGGGTCTAGGCCAAGGTAGAGCAGGCTGTGGGAGACCATGCACAGCCTCTGGCCTGCCCAACTTCTCTGTTACCCCCTTGGCTGCAAACCAGTGTCACCTCCCTACAATGCCTCTTCCTTTGAGACACACCAAATGAAGTTTCTCTAAGGGGCTCTTCCAGGGACTTCCCCAGCTGTAATCAAGGGACGGAATGTGGGGAAGCAACCCAGGCAGGGCTTCCTGGAACAGTTGCTGCAATGTCCTCAAGGCATTCAGGACTAAGTCCTTCTATGACTGGGAGGCCAGGACATAAAACCACTAAGAAGAACATCACCGGTCCTCCTCAGCCCCTAGCCCCTGGCCCAATGCAGCGCCCCAGGGCCTGGAGTCAGAGCAAAGATTGGGGTCAGAGCCGGAATCAGACCAGGGGTGACAATAGGCCGGGAACAGCAGAGCCCAGGTCTGGGGTGACTCCTCCCTGAAGCTTCCTGCTTAGCCCAGCAGGCAGAGAAGTGGTGCTCCGTCTTCCCTAGGTGTCCCCCAAAGCAAAGTGGCCGCCACAACTTCCACCTTCATCTTCTCAGTGCCCCTTCTAGAACTGGGGAGCAAAGAGCTTGCCCTGCTGTATGCAGTGGAGTGACATTAGGCCCAGACAAGGAGGTGGTTCTAACTAATTAGTAGCAAAACTAGGTGAAAGGCTGGGGTGGGGAGACGGATCAGGCAGTAAAGTGCTTGAGCTCCAGAACCCACATTTGGAAAAAAAAAAAAAAAAAAAAAAAAGGGCTGGAGAGATGGCTCAGCGGTTAAGAGGTTAAGAGCACCAGTTGCACTTGCAGAGGACCCAGGTTTGGTTCCCAGCACCTACATGGCAGCTAACAACTGTCTGTAACTCCAGTTCCAGGGGGTCCAACACTCTCTTCTGACCTCCTCAGGCATTGCATGACCCAGGTGCACTTACACACATGCAGGCAATACACTCACACACAAAATAAAAATAGTAGATAAAATATTTAAAAAACAAAAACCCAGGCATAGTGACACAAACTAGTAATCCCAGCACAGGGGAGACAGAGACATGCAGGTTTCTAGGGTTCACTAGCCTACCAGCCTAGCCTATTTGACAAGTTCCAGGCCAGTGGGAGAACCTGTCTCAAAACAACTAAATAAATTAAAGAAATGATAGATGGGGAGATGGGGGTGGTGGAGAGATGGCTCAATGGTTAAGAGTACTGACTACTTTTGCAGAGGACCCAGGTTCAGTTCCTAGCACCCACATAGCAGCTAATACACATCTTAGTTCCATTTCCAGGGGATCCAACACCCTCTTCTGGCCTCTACAGGCATTGAATGACACAGGAGCACTTATATATACATAGGCAAAACACTCATAACACAAATAAATAAATAAAAATAAATAAATAATAGACCGCACCTGAGGAACAACATCTAATATTGTTTTCTGGTCTCTCTCTCTCTCTCTCTCTCTCTCTCTCTCTCTCTCTCTCTCTCTCATACTCTGTATTTAAGGCAAGAGCAGTGTGAGTAAACTAACACACATACACATACACAAAAGTAAGTAAATGAATGAATGATGACTGAATGAATGAATGAATGAATTGCTGACTCTGAACTTAAGACAAACTGCCTCCCCCCAGGTTTCCTCTTAAATTCCAGGCAGCATGACTGCTTCATAGATTTTTATTTGTACTTTTTAAAAGATTTTACATTTTTAATGTGTATGTGTGTGCACGTGTACGTTTACGTGCACCACCTGGGTGCAGGTGCCAGAGGGCTTCAGATCTCCTGGTTCTGTAGTTGTTGTGAGCCACCTGATATGGGTCCTGGGAACTGAACCTGGGTCCTCTTCAAGGGCAGTAAATGCCCTTAAATCTGAGTTGTCTCTCCAACTTGTTTTATTTCATTTTTAATTATGTATATATGTGTATGTCTGTGTGTGGGTTTGTACATGTGAGTGCAGTGCCTTGGGAGGCCAGAAGAGGGTATCAGATTCCCCGGGCTGGAGTTATAGGCAATATCGGTGAGCTGTGCCACTGTGGATGCCAGGAACTGAGCTTGGGTTCTCTGGAAAAACAGGAAGTGCTCTTAACTGCTGAGCCATCTCTTCAGCCCCTCCTTTTTTTTTTTTTTTTTTTTTTCAGTGTAGCCCAAGCTAGCTTCAAGCTCACTCTATAACCCAGGCTACTCTCAAACTTGAGATCCTTCTGCCTCCACCTCTTGGGTGCTGGGATTGCAGGCAAACATCATCCTGCTTTAAGGGGATTTGGTGACAGTGTGGACCTCAGGGACGGACGAGAGCAGCCCCAAGCTCCCTCCTTCTCTTCTTACCCATCCCTCTCTCTTCCAGCCTCCTGAGGAAGTGTACTCGGCTGGAGATTCTGTCCTGGTGAAGTTCCATTCTGATGACACCATCACCAAGAAAGGCTTCCACCTGCGGTACACAAGCACCAAGTTTCAGGACACACTCCACAGCAGGAAGTGACCACTGCCATTGCATGGCGGCGGGAACACGATTCCTGCTTTCCTTGGTCACCCAGACTGGACAATGAGGGTGACAGGCAGAAGGTGACACACTGTCCCTCACCCCCAGGCACCAGGACCTGCAGGGCCAATGGGCCAGGTGTCATCGGGAGGTGGGGGAATTGGACTCCTTATAAGCCACTTCCCCACTGTCCCCAAATCAGAGTAAGGGGCCAGGGCCAGGGAGCCAGAGCTTTCACCAAGACACTTGAAGTGACCATTCCTCCTAGAGGCCCTGCTCTGTGGCAAGACAGTCTGTGTGCAGGACACTGCTGCCTTCCTCGCCGTCTCTACACACTGTACTGTGTATACCAGCGGCCCTAATCTTCATTGTAATGTTCATTTTATTTTGACCCCCCGCCTCCTTATTTTCTGGGGCACAAGTGTCTGCGCAAATCCCCTAGGAACCACAGTGGGGAGATACGGAGGAGGGGGTGGAGAAATAAGACAGGGCTTCTCTTAGGCCCACTGGCTGGTCAGCCACACCAGGGCACCCCAGCCAATAAACTGAAAGTGTTACAGCCAATATCCTGTGCCAGATGCTGTCTGGGATGTGGGGGCAGGGTGTCTTCTTCCAGATGTGCAGGCTTGCTGGGTGTCTGAGGCCAGTGTGGAGCCAAGACACCTGGTTTCACTGGCTGCCCTTTCCTCCCCAGATTCCAGAACCCCTAAGGGTGTGATTTCACACTTGGGCACACACACCAACACACACACACACACACACACACACACACACAGACACCACTGCGTATAGCCCTCCCACACAACAGGAGGAGTAGAACATTCTATAAAGAGGATGTCTGGGGGAGGGAGGAGACATACAAAAGAGGTTTGGGGTATGTTTGTCCATCTGGCTTTTCTGCCTCTTGGTCTGAGGAGGGAGAGGTCTGTGAGAGTGTCTAGCTGACAAGCCCACTGGGAGCCAGAAGACCTGTATCACTAAGCTAGGCCCATTCCTGACCCACAGACACTGAGTGCCAGCATCTCAGATCCTCTGTTCTTGGAGAGGAAAACTAGGGTGGCTAAGCAGCCACTGAGTAAACACTCCACCTCGGCTCCTCTCCCCAGACAACCCAAGGCTGCTGTCCTGTCCAGCCTCCTCCTCCCTGCCGCCTTCTTCCCCAGCCAGCAGTGAGGCCCAGACCCAAGCCTCTCAGAGGCCAGAAGAGTCCTGCCCCCTTTTTTCCAAGGAGGCTCTCCCGCTGGTCTCTGTCTGCATCTCACAAGGAAAGAAAGCAGAACAAGGCTCTTCTGCCTAAGCTGCCCACACCCAGATGCTGCCACGAGTCAGTGGCATGCCCTGAGGAAGGGCTCCCTGAGAGCCTTCAGTTGGCTAGGAGTCTTCTATCAGCCCCAAGTTCTTCCCTATTGCAGAGGCAGGCACTGTGCCAGAGGCTGCCCGGATCCACCCCCAGGGAGCAGCAGGACATGGGAGACCCCACATAAGCCCTTTACCCAGAAAGCAGTGGTGGAAAAAAGACAGTGTATCCAGGGCACTTTCCAGGATGCCAGCTGCTCCCCTGCCAGGCTGCAGCCATCCCCACTGGGCCTGACCACAGTTGAGACACTGGAGCCCTGCATGGGTACAGGAGATGCCCAGAGGTGCTATTGCTTATCCTCAATCTCTTCCTGATGGAGATGCTCAACACAGCCTGTAGAGCTGTGATCAGAATGCAAGGGCTCTCAAATGGTAGGGACTACCTGACATCTTTCCCAGACTCTCTGACCACCTACCATCTTGGTATTGGCTCCTCCACAGCAGGATCTGTAGTCAGTGGCTACAGCTCTCCCTACCAGCCTTCTGGGTTCTTATGAAGTTTAAAGGAACACAATCCCAGCTCACAAGGCAAATGCCCACTCAAGATATAACCCTGTCTGAATGGAGAGGCTCCCAGCTACTGAGATGTACCTGTTCTACCACAGGGAATGTCTCATTGTCTCATGAGCAGCAACAGCACATCTAGAGGCAGATGGAGATCTGCCCACACAGTCCCCACCCCACCCCTCAAGCACATGTCCCAAGACTCTATCACCCATGCAGACTTATATTACTCTGGGGACTCCAGGATGAGTTTCCTGGGCCCATCAGAGGCAGCCAATGGGCTATAGCATCCCAGGTTCAGGAACAGATCAGTAGGGGAAATTGTGCCAACAGTGAAAGCTGCAGAGCATCGTGGAGACCCATGCCCAAGCCAAGGCCTGTGGGATGCTTTTATGTAGAGCCAAAGCTACAGCATGGGCTCCCAAACAAGCCTGTAGAGTACATGCAGACTGGGAAGACCACAGAACGGGTTCTTGTGGCTGTTTCAAGGTCCTCTGTCACTGCCAGCCAAGAATTGGGGGAGACAGGCCTCTCTGAATAGCTAGACACCCACCCCCAAATGCTTACAATCAAGTAATGTCAGCATGGGTAATGGGTAGGTTTTGATGGAGAAGAAAGAAAAGGAGGACTTTGAGGACAGAAAGCACCAAAGTAAGATGGTGGGAGAGGAGGAAGAGGAGGAAGAAGAAGAAGAAGAGGATGCAGAGCAGGGCTTTCCTTCTTGAGTGGTAGGACATGGAAACATTTTAGAGTTTAGTAAACCATGGTGCTCCTCAAGCCCAGTCCACCCTCACCCCTAACTTCTCAGCAGTCCAGACTAGGTCAATTCCACTGTAGTATAGGTGATGCCATGGCTGAGAGAGGCCCAGTGGCTCCTCCAGTATCTCCCAGCCTGGAGTATCCCTGGGGCCTGAGTGCCTAATTGTGGAAAAACCAGGGTGAGGCTCTGCCTCACAGAGCCTCACCCCCAGTCCTGGAGTCTGATGGAGAAAAGCAAGGTTTAGAGCCTGCCCACTGTACTGTCTGGGAGCACATATCAAGCCTTGTCAGAGAGGCCAGCATGAACCTGGCAGGCAGACTTATCTCTGTGACATAGACCAAGTGCTTCCCCCCCAGTCCTCTGTTCCCTAAACCTGTCTCCAACCCCCAGATCCCCTTCTGTTAACAATCAGAGGAAGTCAGGAAACCCCAGGCTCTAAAGCTACCAGGGTTCAAGAGGCCAGGCTGTGGAAATCACTCCTACTGTTGCCTCAACTGTAAAATTGGGTACCCAAGTCTGTCCCTCACTTGCATTTTCCTTCCTTCCTCTTTCCCCCTCATGCTTCTCAGAAGCAGAAAGGTCACAAGCTTCAACACCAACAAAGCATTTTGAACCTAGTTCTATCACTGGGTGCCTGTGTGGCTCTGGATGACTGAGACTCTTGTTTCTTCAAACTATCATACTAACAACAGGAGCACCTGATACAGTTATGAAGAAAGAAGGAAGTGACCATTGAAGAGAGCCTTTCACTGTATCTAGCAAATGGCCCTTAATGATCAGGCTTTCTCTGCCAGACAACTCACCCTAGACTGTTCTATTCCTGGTCTGAAAGCAAACTTCTGGGTACACTGGTTTTGTTAGACATTTGGAGCTCAGGGCAGACCTCCTCTGCCAGAGAGGATGATGCTTAGCCCATAGCAAGGAGGGACCTGTGGGGCAGCAGGGACATATTTCTGGCCAGCTGGTGGCCTTTCTGGGCACCTCCCAAGTTCCACCCCATACTTGACTATCCCTACGCTCAAGGCAGATTCTGGAATCTATGAAAAGTTTGACTGCTCCAGTTTGCAAGAATAGTAGTGACTGTCTTGGAGAATTGGGGGGAAGAGGGCAGCCAGATGTTCTCCCCAGAGAGCCACAGGCCGCCCCCCCAACCCAGCCTCCTCCTGACCAGAGCTGCCGTTCCTGCCTGCCTCACTCCCAGCCCCCATCCCAGGACATCTGGTTCCAATCTCCTCCAGATGCTGCAGCCACACTTTTATAGGCAATCACCTCACTTTGGCCTCCTAAATCAGGCCTCTCCCCATTTCAGAGTATGGTCCCTCCTCATCCCTTTCCTTGGGACCCCAGCTACGTCTTTTCCTAACATGGGAAGAGACACATATAGAAGACAGAGGAATCTGGGCAAGTCCTCTGAGCTGGCCTTCTGCTCCCTCCACTCTGTGGTAGGCAGATCTCTTCCTAGCAAAGATTAAAAGGAAAGATACTGGCCAAGAAGGAAAGAGGAAGCAGGGAAATTGGGCACAATCAGTGTAGAGGAGAATGTGGGAGTCATGTGTGCTTTGGGGGGCAAGGAGTCCAACCATGTGTTTGTATGGTATGTGTCTGTGCCTACACAATGTGAACACCTACCTGTAACCCCTGAGCCTAGCATTTAGTTTCCCTTATTCCCAGCACTGGAGACAAACTCAGGTCCCTCACCTATAGTCCACCTTGAGCCTCACCTTGGGCCTGGTATGTTTCCTCTAAGCCCAGCCCAGAGAGGGTATGTGTGTTTGCATGTGTGGATGGAGTGCATATGTGTCTCCTTCTGGGTCAGATTAGACCTTAGGCCAAAAAGAACCCCCAGGGCAGCCTCCAGTAGGTGCCCTGACACTATTCCATCTGACGGGTGCTTTCTATAGCCCAGGGCTGGTCATGTACTAGGAGTAGCCATCTGGACAGAAAGAAGCAGGCTCTGGAGGAACCTGCATGCCCCCTCATTTCTGTTCTTCACCTTCGTCCCTTAGTATGAGGACTCTGAGAGCTAGTCCCTCCTCCCAACAACCCAGAAAGACTCTCAAAAGAAGACTGAAGCCCACCCCTGTGGAAGACTCTGAAAACCCACACTCCTCAGAGGCAGGAGGGGTCATCCTTAGAATCACTCCCTACCCTTGATCCTGGACTCAGGTGCTACCCACACCTTTAAAATAAGCTTATGTGGCATTCATGACTCCACAGCCCCCCCTGGCGTCATTCTGAAACTAGGCACGTGGTCGGTTAACTGGAAGAAAAGTGGGAAGGGCCACTATGTGGGAGACAGGCCCTGCCTTCATCTAATCACTGTATCTAAACTGACATACACTAATGGCGGTCAGTAGGGAAAATTCCTGTTTCTGAATCGACCTAAACATAGGCAAGCCTCCTGGCTTCTTTGTGCCTCAGTGTCTTGTCTATGAGGTAGAAATGATACTGACCAAAGCATCATGTAGACTAATAGAGCTGCTGTATGTGGACCTGCCAAACCAGTTCCTGCATGTGAGGTCCTCATGAAGGGGTCAACTGCCTTTCAGCTTTCCTTTCTATCCCAAAGAGGCTATGCCTCATGGTCTGATGGCGCATGTGAACTTGGCCCTGACTCAGGCAGTGTTGGTAAGGTGCCTCTGACAGTTCTGGAGCATTTCCACTCCAGCTGAGGACCATTTTAATAAGCCCATAATAATAGACGCAGAGGTGACTCAGATCTGCAACCCAAGAGCCCTGCTGGGGAGGAGGGGACACAAGGCTCTTGGGAGAGGGAAATCCAGTGGGTCTGAGCCATGGCAGGTTGTAGCAGTGGGGAGGGCTCCAACAGGGACCCAGGCACTTTGGTAAGCCATCTAGACTGCCACAGATCCTCCCCAGACCCTTCAGCACTCCTATATGGGAAGTATAGGGTGGGACCAGATGATCTCCAAAGTCTCTTCCACAGCTGGGGCTGTGGTTCTGTATTCTGAGCCCTGTCACCCATGGTAGGACTTGGATATATTCTTAGGGCAGCTCCAGGTGGCCTGTCCTAGGGCATCCCCATGTGAATTCTCCTGTGGACAGTGCAATCCAGCCACTCCACCCTTCAATCCTCTGACCCAAAGAGAAGCACTACTGTGGTCTCCGTGCTTGTGACTCATACCCAAAGTTCATCCATCAAAATCCAACTGCCACAGTGATATTGGGAGCCACCTTTAATAAGGGTGGAGCCTCAAGAATGGGATTAGTGCCTTTATAAAAGAGACTGAGAGACTGGGGGTAGGGGTGGGCAGGGATGTAGCTCAGTAGAGTTCTTGTCTAGTATGCACAAAGCCTGGGGGGTCATTCTCCAGCATCGTATAAACCAGGTGTGATGGTGCATGCCTATAATCCTAGTACTGGGAAAGCAGAAGCAAGAAGATCAGAAGTTCAAGGTCATCCCACATAGGGAGCTGGAGGCCAGACTGGGCTAAAAACCCTATTTAAAAAAAAAAAAAAGACTAGGGAAGTTTATTTATCCCTTCTACCATATGTGTGTTGGGGCACAGCAAGAAGGCAAAGATGGCTATCTGTGCACCAGAATGTAAACCCTCCCAGATAGGAAGTCTGAAGATAACTTGGTCTTTGTGTTCTCAGCTCCCAGAGCTGTGACAGAAAAGGTTCTGCTGTTGTAAGTTTGTGATATTTCATGATAGCATCCTGAATGGACCAAGACAGACGGAGCCCTTGGGCCATGGTGGTTTATTGATGCACATTGCAAGCACAGCACAGGAGGGCGTGCCCCACCCAGGGAGAACAGAGGGCCAGGACAAGGCAGCAGGCCACCCCCTCAGCAATGCTGTCAGCACAGAGGGGAGAGCTCGGGGGGCCAGGTCCTCTCCTCTACACATCTCACAGAACCTCAGGCTTCCTGGCCCACCCCAATGAGGCAGCTGACTGTAGCACTGTCCCTGGTAACCAGCCATTCACCTGTCACCCACAGAGGTATGGCCCTGTGGGCCTGCCAGCTCCTCTGTCCTTCTCAGAAATCCAGCTGCTTGTGCTTCATCCCTGTCACTTCTGAGGAAATCACTGTGACCTTCTCCCCTCCTCCTCATCTCTCCACCTGCTTGTCTTGTCTCAGAGAGTCTACCCTCACTACCCTCATGACCCAAACAGTAGAAACAAGATGAAAACGCAGGGAACTGCAGGGGAATTCATCAAGAACTCCCCAGGGGAACAGCCCAGAGAGCAGACAGGGCTAGTGTTTGGAGCAGGAGGTGGCCTGATGGAGAGCCCACAATTCAGCTCACACATGGCACAGAACAGTCATGGCTCCATGGCAGAGCGAGCAAGTGAGCGAGCAAAGCACATGGCCAGAAGGGGTGCCAGGACCCTGTGGGTCACCCTCAGTTCTCTAGTTCTATATTAGGCCCATCAAGACATGAGGTGGCCTGCTTCCGGCTGAGGAACGGGTCTCAGGGGTCTCCTTCCCCCTCCTCGACCCCGGCAGCTGTTGTTGCAGACCCCAGCACTCTCTGAGCAAGGGAGAAGGTTTGCTGAGGAGTGTATCATCCTCAGATAGAAGAAAGGGAAAATCTCAAGAGCCCAGAGCCCTCAAAACCAAGAGAAGAGAGGGTCCTTTTCCAGAGAGTTGGAGGGTATCTCAAGTGCGCCAATAACAGTGATAGAGGAAAAGACAGTTCTCCCATGCGGGAAAAGGGTTCTGGGGCCAAGGAGCAGCCAGGGCAAGACAGCAGTGCAGGAGGTTATTTATAGAGGAAGGGTCCTGACCTGGAGTTGAAGCCCCCAGGCCCAGCCCAGTGGGGAGGGAGCTGTCTAGGGTGGCCCTGAGTGGGGTGGGTGGGGCTAAGGAGGTACCCCATAGCTTTCTGCATCTACGTAGAAGCAGCTGGGCTACACATGGGCTTTGGCCCAGGAGGCAGGGAGGACTCTGGGAGCCACAGACCTGCTTGAGGCCAACAAAACAGAACAGGAAACAGAGGAAAGGAAGAGTTCTCCAGAAGTACAACCCACCTCCTGAGAAACCCTCCCACATCCACCAGGCCTGGGGTGGGCCACACTAACTAAGAGGACCACCACCTGTTGCCTCCAATGTCAAGGGGGAGAGGGTTGGACAGAGTAGAGGGAGCAGGAGGCAGGGGAGAGAAAACCAGCTCCCCAAACCTAAGTCACCCACCTCCACTCTCCTGTCATCTCTCCCCAGCCCTCCAGCTCCCCAGGAGTCCCTAGCGACCCACACTGATATTGCAGGTCTTGCAGCTGGGGTCTTTCTTGGCATCAGCAGTGGACAGACTCATGAGCTGGTGCCCGCTGATCTCCCCCAGAGTGCCCAGGGAGAGGTCAACTGGCTCAGTATAGATGATCTCCAGGATAAGGTCCTGAGCGTGGCGGAAGACCAGCTCCCCGCCCTCCACGCTGCAGGTCAGAAACTTGTTGCAGGCAATGTCCAGGAGGGGCAGGCGGTCACGGCAGAAGCGGTCCCCCAGGGAACCTTTAGGTGCCAGCACCAGGATGGCATAGTGGTAGGCTGTGTACATACAATAGAAGTCTGCAAAGTAGAGGTTGGTGCTGGGGTTGAAGAGGCGCTGGGCAGGGATCTGGAAGCGCCAGCGGCCGTAAGGGGAGTCCTGGGGGGGCTGGCCTGTGTTGAACTCTGTGTTGCAGCTGAAGAAGACACCATGCAGCATGCCGCTGGTGGGGGAGCCGTGGCTGCCGCTGTTGTCCTTCAGGTAGGGCTGCAGCATGTTCCCGCAGTGGGTCCTGCCGGCCAGGGAGGAATGCCAAAGGGAAGGGAAAATGCAACGGGTTAGCTCAGCCCTCAGCCAAAGCTTGGCTGCTATGTGTACTTGAGAACAGAGTGAGCCATCCCAGCTCCCAGCACGCCTATCAGCCCACAGCCTCCACCATCACAAGCCTTAGGTCCTTCCATGCTGTCTCCCTGGCCAGACTCTGGGGTTCTTAAAAGGATGACCTGGCATATGTGGGTGCACCTTGTTTCTCCTTCTGAAAAAGGAGCCCAAACAGGACTGCTGCCTCTTCTTTAATAAAAACAACTGAAGACTCGAGGTCTTTACAGCTTTCTCCGGGCAAGGAGAGAACACCCACCCCAGCTGCCAGTAATGATAAAGACAGTAATCGTGGCAGCTTGCCCTGACCTAGCTTAGAAGGACACAGACTTGGAGCAGTGTCAGCAGGCATGGGGAAGGGTGGACAAGCCCTGGTCTAGCCTCACCCTTGCCTGGTCCTAGTTATCCAGAGAGACAAGCGACTTAGCAACTCTTGGGACCTCCAGCTCATCATCAGTAAGTAGGCTGAGGTGCTGGATCAGATCATCAGTTTTAACTTTTGGAATGCAGAACACCTCTCTTTTCTCAAAAGAAGGTAATGTTCAAGTGGGTCGTTGGCAAATGAGATTGAGGCTGCTCTGGTTGAATCATAAGGTGGGACTCTCCAAGCCTCATCCTCTGGCTTTCCCCTACCTACCTCTCAGCAGTAGCCTAAAAGATTCCCCAAAATGCTTCCCTGGAGCCTGTGGACTCCTTAGCACCCAGCTTGAAAGACAGCAAGCTGGGGGTTCCCTGGGCATGCGATGCTCAGGGTCTTCTTGCCACCTCCCCTCTGCTTCTGGTCCCTGAAATGGAGAGACAGCTGACCTCTGATGTGCGGTAGACCCAGTGAAAGAACTGTCCCAGAGGGGGATCACACCCAGAACTCATTGCTTGGCCTTGTCATCAGGGTCTTCTGCCAGGTAGCCCCACCTCAATGTCCTTGATCTTCCCCAAGTCCAACCCCAAAGTAACAATCACTTTTTTTTTGAGACAGGGTCTTGCTATGTAGCCCAGGCTGGTCCCCAACCTGCAGCTCTCCTTCTGCCTCAGCACCCTAAATACTGGGATCACAGACATGCACCATCACACTTGACTTAGTGGCAGTTACTGTTGAGTTAGCCTGGTAAAGTAAGGCCAGGGGAACACTGTGGGAGAGAAGGCTGACCTCAGCGAACCAAGGCAGGCAGAGGATGAGCTGAGGGAGGACTGAGGAGGGAGATGTCTGGAAGGCCTGCCGCACCTTACCTGGCATGCTGGAAGTACTCTTTGTGATGATTGCGGTAGAAGACAGAGAAGCGGAGCATGCGACCAGCAATTTGCTCGGCCTTCTCCTGCAGCTGGGCCAGGTGCTCCTTGGCATAATCTGCAAGAGTCCAGACACAGTAAGGTGAGCAGAGGGTCAGCTACAGGATCACAGCCTCTTCCTCTTCCCCCACCACCACCCACTGAGCCTGTCCTCTGTCCTCTGGAGCAGCAGGGGAGCTGCTGAGCCTGGACTCAGATGAGGACAGGCCAGCTGGCCTGTGCCCCCATTGTTAGAGGGTCAGAGCTCCCTGAGTTCAGAGAGGGCAGAGGGCTGCCTGTTATCAGGCCAGAGGCCACAAGGCTGTTGTTCCAGGCTACCCTTATGTAACAAGAGGACCAAAAGGAAAAAGAAGGACTTGAGGGGAGATTTCAAGGTCCTTTGAGGACGGCCCTTCAAATCTAGAAGCAGGGAGCCTGATGGAGGCTAGTTGTAGGTGGGGGCTCAAGAAGAATCAGAGAACAGAGCCTGAACTTCAGGTAGACCAAAGGTTGGGGCACTAGATGTCCACTTGAGCCTCTCTATGTGGAAGAAATAAAGAAGGCTGATACCAGGACAGGAAAACTGACCCCATGGGCTTCGGTCTGGACCTGGGACCTCAGGACCCAAGTAGGGCTGTTGCTACCTCAACAGTGCCTTGGTATGAATTAGAGAAAGGTACCCTTTGCTTACTGTAGCTGCATCTCTATGTGCTTGGTCTGGTGAGGGGATGATGGACTAGACTACAGCATCCCCAGCTCCCCCATTTAAATTAAACACCCACTGCATATGCAGTTCTGGGGGGCAACCAAGATGCCTCTCCCACAAGGAGCAAGAGCAACTTTCCAGTAGGGTTATGGTGGCTCAAGGAGACTTGGAGCACAGATTTTGGCAGAAGATGGATCCAGCAGCCTTGGAGGCCCCAGGGCAGAGAATGTTCTCTGTCCCTTCCTTGTGACAGAGAGCAATCTGGAGCAGTTCTCACATGGACACCAAAGGCATACAATATTATGGAGCAGTTCCTTGGCTAACATGACCAAGAATACACAAAGTTGTGTTTGTTCATGCTGGAATTTGCAAGCTCAGCTCTGCCTAAGAAACCGTGTAGGGTCATAGGATAGGGACCATTTTCCGAGGCTAAGGGGAGACTTAAGACAAGAAAAAAATGTTACTGTTCCCCTAAATAACCACTGATGGACTGTTGATAAACAAAATGGGATTTATCCAATGCAACGGGATACTGTCTAACCTTTAGTGGGAAGGAAGTTCCGATATATGCTACAACATCTGTGCACCTCAGTGATATTCAGGTAAGAGAAATAAGTGTCACCAAGGACAAGTACTTGGTGGTTTCACTCATATGAGCCACCTAGCACAGTTAAAATCTGTGGAGGTGGTCATGGCTCAGGGAGAGGGAAAATGGGAAGTGGCTGTTTCATGGGTTTAGAGTACTGGTTTTGTGAGATGGAAAAGTTCTGCAGATTGGCTACACAATATAAGTAAATATACACTTAACATGCACATACTGTATACTTAGAAATGGATCAGATGGTAGATTTTCTATTATGTCTATTTTACCCCAATTAAAAATATGTATGCTTGGGGCTGGAGAGATAGCCCTGCAGTTAAAAGTACTGGCTGATCTTGCAGAGGACCTGGGTTCAGTTCCCAGAACCCACATGGTGGCTAATAATTGTCCATAACTCCAGTCCCAGGGGATCCAACGCCCTCTTCTGGTCTCCATAGGCATTACATACATATGATATATGCAAGCACACAAAATGCTCTTACATACAAAACACTCATACACACAAAATAAAAGTAAATAAAATTGTCTTAATACTTGGGGCTGGAGAGACAGCTCAGAAGTTAAGATCACATACTGCTCCTGCAGAGGACTAAAGTTCAGTTCCCAGCACCCACATCAGGCAGTTTACAACTACCTTTAAGTCCAGCTCCAGGGAATCTAACACACTTTTCTGGCTTCTGTGGGTACCCTCATGCAAGTAGGTACACACACACATAAAAATAAAATAAATCTTAATATATATATTTTTTTTCTTGGAAAAAAGCAATTCCATCCCTTCATGTAGGTGGTATTGCCAAGATGTAGCGTCTACATGTCTCTCATTAGAGCAAAGGCAGGCTCTGTGACAATAGGGGAGGATCTGTTCCAACTGTCTCCCCTCTGGTCTAAGCACAGTATCTGGGGTACAGCCTATGTTTGTGAATATGTTGAGCTAAGGTGAACTCCTCCCCCCACACACCCTGACCCAACCAATCAGATATGCCAAGGAAGCAGGGTAGTGATGCAGTAGCAGGGTCTCACCCCCAGTGCAGAACTCCACAGTCTCGCTCCAACCAGATACCAGGTACTCCCCATCGCTCTGCTTCACGGCTGTCTGCACGGCCACACTGTACTCAGTACGGGGACTCAGGAACCAGTGACCTCTCACTGTCATGGGCAGAGGCACTGCCTTGGCCACAAGCTTCGTGGGGACATCCTGAGAAGTGGGGTATAGATGGTGAACCAAGTGTCCATCTTGAAGTCATACCCAATCTTGGCATTATTCCAGAATTCCCACTCCCCAGAGAGCCCCCTCTTCCTCTTGAGGAGGGTCAGAATCTCAGGGACTCCACAACTCCATGCCCCAGCCATCATCTCCCTTCAAAGCAACCAATGGGACACCAGACTCTACCCCTCCTTCAATTCCCCTGATGCTCCATTATCTTGAGAATAGGCAAGGCCGCTTGGGAGGAAGCCCCCAAAGTCGAAGGTGGCAACACCTTCATTTTGAGGGAGACTTTGAGAGCTCTGCACACTGCAGTGCTGTCTCCACGGCAACAGCAAATGCTGAGAAGCCAGGGAGGAAGGGAAAATATGCCTTATTCTTTGGGGGGAGGGCTAAGGGGGTGGTGTTGAACAGTCACGTCACCGTGGCAACTGGCCTGCCAAAAGACACCCAGATCAGGGGAGCCACATCCAAAAGAGAAGGAGAGAAAGAGAGAGAGAGAGAGAGAGAGAGAGAGAGAGAGAGAGAGAGAGAGAGAGAGAGAGCGCTAACCCACACAGAAGCTGTTGCCCTGGGAGCCAGTTCCTTCCCACTAAACTCTCTCCTGCCTCTGCAGCTGAAGAAGATGGAGGCTTCCTCCCACCAGCTCCTACATTGGCTTTTAACCCAGGGAAAGGACACACTGAGAGAACCCTCTCATGTGCCTTTCCTACACCAAGGAAACAGGCTAACAGGGAAGAAGCAAAGAAAAACTAGGCCCATGCCATGTATCACGTACCCAGCCAAAGGGGTCAGGTTTTCCACCCAACTACAAGGCTACCTGCCCTTTGAGTCCTCGACCTTGCTGTAGTTTGCAATATTATCCCAACATGTGATGCCTTAAGCCCCACCCAACCTACGGGTGTTCTGCCACTGTCTGAAGTCCCAGTCATGGTGGGAATAACAGTGCTGGAGCTATGCTAGGCACTGGGCCAAACACCACGCAACACATTACTCACGGAATTCCTTTCAACAGCTCTACAAGGGTGGCGTGATCATTCCTTTTCACCAGGGAAGGCACCCAGGCTCAGAAAAGTCAGATCACTTTGCCAAGATGACCCCATGAAAAGATTCTGGATTTTGATCAGGCTCTTCCCCATTTCTTCGGGAAGTCAACTGACATCCTTCTAGAAGAGGGGTTGGAGAGAATTGCTGAGACATCCTTTACTCACCCGGTGCTTGAATTTGTTGGAGTTCTTGTTCTCCTTCTTATTGAGGTCAATGAAGTAATGAGTGACCCTCTCCAGGTCACTGTCCTCCATGGCCCAGGAGATACGGAAAGAGTCACAGGTGATGTTGTTGATCTCAATGCTGTGGGGGGTGGACAGCAGCTCCATGCTCCCCTCTGGATTGGCTCCTATGAGAATTGAGAACCATGGGAAAGATCAATAGGTCTCTCTCACCATAGAACTTTCTGGAATGTGCTGTCCCCATTATGCTTTGTGAGGTGGAGCCTTGTACCACCCATCAAATGCCCCTGATTCATAAATATGATAGGAAAGATTGCAGTGGGGCTAGACTGGACGGGAGGGACCCAAAGCAGGATGGAGGTACCCTCTAGAGAGGGCTCTTGGCTTTCCTCAGAGGGTCCATAGAGCAGACGGCACCTGACAGGTGGCAGAGGCAGTGGGAATGCTACAAACACTGGGCAGGGACAGATTTGCAGCAGATGGAGCTAAGGAGGGAGGGGCCCTCAGCCAGCAGGCGCGAAAAAAGAAAGGATGGGGGTAGAGAGGATCGGGAAGAGGCAGAGGAAGCACCTGCTGGGGGGTCTGAGGTGTGAGGATTGATGCAGGTGGGAGGTCAGTGGAGCCAAGCGTCCACAGGCACCAAGACCCTGGAGCTCAGACCTCTCTCTTCCCTGGGTGTGACTGAGGCAGTGAGGATCCCTTCTGTGCAGGGCTGGGAAGACGAGAGCTGCCTAGAAGCATGTGGATATATTTGTGGTGGATGGGGGTGGCATGGGCCACAGCCTGCTTCAAGCTCTTTTTTGGTCCATTACTTTTTTGACAATCACTTTCTATTTTCACAGATCCTCACTTGACTTTTTCTTTCTTTAAAAAAAAATTCTGTTTTTTTTCTTTCTTCTCTTTTCTTTTTTCCCCAATTTTTGTTTTGTTTTCTTTTGAGACAGGGTCTTATTTACTATGTAACCCTAGCCGGCCTGGTCTCGAACTCACAGAGCTCTGCCTGTTTCTGCAAGTGCTAGGATTAAAGGCGTGCACAACCACGCCTAGCTGTTCTTTTCTATTTTGAGTCAGGATCTTGTCATATAACCCTGGCTGGCTTCCAACTCAGTATCCTCCTGCCTCAGCCTTGCAAGTACTGGGATTACAGGTGTATGGCCACTTCACTCTTTTAAAGAATTATTTTTAATACTGACATCTATTGAGAGTCAACATATACTAATAACATCTCACACAAGTCTCACGATGTGTAGGTATTACTAGTCTCCCTATTTTATAGACTGGTAACTGAAGTTGGGGGTACTGATATGTCCAGGGCCACATAGCCAGCAATTACTTGTACCCTGTCTTTCTTTAAAAAAAAATTCTGTTTTTTTTCTTTCTTCTCTTTTCTTTTTTCCCCAATTTTTGTTTTGTTTTCTTTTGAGACAGGGTCTTATTTACTATGTAACCCTAGCCGGCCTGGTCTCGAACTCACAGAGCTCTGCCTGTTTCTGCAAGTGCTAGGATTAAAGGCGTGCACAACCACGCCTAGCTGTTCTTTTCTATTTTGAGTCAGGATCTTGTCATATAACCCTGGCTGGCTTCCAACTCAGTATCCTCCTGCCTCAGCCTTGCAAGTACTGGGATTACAGGTGTATGGCCACTTCACTCTTTTAAAGAATTATTTTTAATACTGACATCTATTGAGAGTCAACATATACTAATAACATCTCACACAAGTCTCACGATGTGTAGGTATTACTAGTCTCCCTATTTTATAGACTGGTAACTGAAGTTGGGGGTACTGATATGTCCAGGGCCACATAGCCAGCAATTACTTGTACCCTGGAGGCCAAGTTCTTTATCACTAAACTAAGGTTGCATCCCTGTGTGTGTGTGTGTGAGTGTGTGCGTGCATGTGTGTGTGCCCTGTGCATGCACACGCACGTGCACACAGGACACATCTACAACTGCTGTTTATTTTCCTTTTCCTATCAATGTTTTTCAAACAGTTGAACTTTCCCTTGCTTCCTTCCCTGACTCCTTCAGTTCTACCCTGACTCTGGTGCCCTTTGGACATGAAAGGACATTATTTCTCTTACCTGTGCTTAGCTGGACTAGAGGTAGTTTTTCTTGTATATGACCTGGCTTTCCTGGAAACAAGAGTAGGTGTGTGAGGGGACACAGTTGTGGGTGAACTTGCTCAGGGCCTTTCCTGGCTCTCTCCTTCAGCCCAGTACCCAGCACATCTCATAGCACCTCGTTTTCCTTCTTCCTCTCCAACCTTACCCAGGAGCTTGGGGTGAGGGCACCTTGTCCCTGCAAAATCAGGTACTTTTATTTATAGCTTCCAGAAGATCCAACCCACATTTTCCTGTCAATTAAGTCTGCTTCAGAGCCTAGCACCTCTAAATTAACCTGTGGGCTGCCTGGGTGGCAGGTACATGAGGTGGGGATATGGCTGAGAGCCTTATCTGCCCAGGTCTCCCTCAAGTTTTGTTTCTTCTTAGCTTTCCATCCTAGAGCCAAATGCTTGTGGCTTCATGCCCAGGGAATCTATGGTCAATAAGTACTGGGGTGCTACCAGGGCTCCCCCAAAATGAGACAAATGAGATGGAGTGCCTGGAAATAACCCTTACAATAACAATTACAATTATGTACATAATTTGGTGGAAAAGTATGGAGCAGGAGAGAATTACCAATGCCCTGGATATTGACAAGCCGTTTCTAAGGAAGATGTACATGTAGCCCTAACATGCACACACACACACACACACACACACACATTTGTACCCATGGATATGAACACACACTCCCACCTGAGGACTCAAGTGGCTTCCACCCACATGGGATACAGCCTATGCCTGCTTTGTAAGGGGGCTCCAGTTCCTGCCTGCATTTCCTCGAGGCAAGGGCAGCTGTGGTGGTGAGTGGGGGCTCCAAGCCCAGGTGGCTGCTCATCCCTTCCTCTCTCCATTTCTGAGAGAGCTGCTCCCCACCCCAGCCTGAGGCCTGGGAGAATGGCAGTGACTTGACACTGAAAGAGCAACCAGCCAGCCTGGACCAAGAGTGGGTGTCAACCCAGCTTCTCTGTATCCAGATGCCTGGGGAAGGGCAGGTGGTGAGGGACAGGTCGGGGCAACACCCTAGGAACACCCACACTCCCATGTGAATCCACCCAAAGCAAGCATGTACACACCCCCACACACAGGGATGCACGCACAGACACATGCGCAAGAGTGCCCACCTACCCCTGCATATGCCCCCTCACACATCCTCACCCCTCCACATTCACCTACGCATGGAGGTATCCTCCACCACTTTGGACATTCTAAGAATGCCCTAGAGTTTCCCCTCTGAAAGCTGTTACCTTTGTGCCACCCCACACATGTTCATGTCCACAGTCTCATGCCCACCCACATGCACCAGCCCCTCATCACAAGCCATATTTGGGGAAAAGGAGAAGCTACAGGCACCAGCACACATGCATGCCACCTTCCCAGGAAGGCAAGCAACCCGCTCGCCTGCCTGCACACACATGTACATTTGAGCACACTTCAGTCCCAGCCTGGTTGCTGGTATTCTCCCTGGAATCTTTTTAGGCTCCAAGATACAGACTTTGGATGTTTGCCTCTGGCCACACTGGACTAGCCTAATCCTTCATAGACCAACAGGTTTGCCACACCTCCGTGGGTCTACCCTACCCCCACAGCAGTTTTTGTCCACACTTTCCACCTGCCCATCCCATCTTGCCCTGGAATTGCCCCTCCCGCATAGAAACCTCCTGGTTGCTACAGTACTCCCTCAACATGTACTCCCACCCACATGACAAGTGACATGTCCACCCCCTAAAAATACTGCCTCATTGGGCCCCCGCCCACGTATACCCACAGGCTACTCAGATAAGCTCTGTGTCGTGCCCCCCGCCCCCCCCCGGCCGCACACATGTACCACACGCGTGCAAAAAAGGCTGTGTTCTGAAATATGCCACAAGCCGGTCAAAAACCCCACAGGCGCGTAACTGCGTGGAGGCAGATCTATCTACGCAAGCAAGCCTCCAGCCTTTTCTCGAGCATGCACACATGTTGTACACACTGGGGCCCCTTCCCCAAGTCTATTGAGAAAAGCCACTGACATGTCAAAGGGAAAGCTCCTCCACCCTTACCAACCTTTTGGCATCGATGACTGCAGAAGAAATGATTACGGGGGAACTAACTGTGTCGCCCTGGAGACCAGAACCAGCTGTCAAGCTCTTTGCCAAGGGCCTAGGGGAAAGGGGACAAGGTCGCCAGGCCTGGCGACCCAGGTGGACAGACTGGACAGTGGTGGAACCCTGGTGACCCCAGCTCTCAACCTCTTGGAATAGGCAGGATGGTCTGGAGAGGAAGAGGACTCACCTGGCTTCAGCTGGCCCTGCAGAGGGAGACTTGGCAGGGAGGGAAGGGAGAGCCCTCGGTATGGAAGAGCTCTCCAGGCAGGGGACAAGCGGCCGGACGCCTGGGTCACAGTCAGCGGGGCTCGCGCTCGCCTCTCCCGGCTGCCAAGGAGGCTGCTTCCATGCCCCACGGGCGGCTCCTCTCTGGCTCTGCAGCTTCTGGCTGCTGCCCCCGGCAAAACGAAGATGTTCCCAGCCGAGCGAGTGAGCGCGCAAGAAGAGAGAGGCAAGAGCGAAATCAAAGCAGCGTGGAGGAGAGGCAGAGAAAGCGAGAAAGAACGGGAGAGCCAGACCGAATCTGGCTCCACCAATGGGATCAGCGGCTGCTCAGCGTCAGGTGATAATAAGCAAGCTTGGTCCCCGCTCGCCTGGGCTGGTGGGAGGGGGAAAGGGCAGAGGGTCCCTCAGAGAGCTACAAAGATGTCCTTGGAGGCAGCATCTGTGGCTGCGGCCACCTTTCCCCCATTCTTCCAAGATAAAATGCCTTTGGAAGTTCGTCCAACACACCCCCTACTTGGAAATCTGACTCGAATGCAGCCCCCAAACTTAAAGACGCTGGGAGAGGGGTGGAGCTTAATCCAAAGGCTTGGGCCCCTAAACAAGGATTCTGATTGGGGGAAAGGGAGGGAGGCTATGGAGGGGAAGGGTCCTAAAGGGGTGTCTGAGTAAAGTTGGAGGGACCTTGTCTTCACTCTGGGGCCTCTCCTGAGGGACCGCCACTGATCCATGGCTCCATTTCCTTACCAACTCTATCAAGGGAAATCATCCCCCCAGCCATGGAGATTCCAGAGTGTCCAGTGAGAATCTTCTGCTGCTTCAGTGTTCCCAAGAAAGGAGCAGGAGAGAGGAGTTGTAAAATAGCGAGGAATGCACAGAGGCACGACCGACTGTGGGGGTGGGAGGACACGCAGATCTTTTGAGTATTCTTATCTCAACCAACCCTCTGGCATGAGGAAGCCAAAACCTGGGACTGCAGTTACAGAGGGAGCATCAGCTAGAGGCTTGTCTATTACCAAGAAATAGGTGGAAGTCTCCAGAAGAACTCGCAAGACCATTTGAATGAAGCAGCAAATAGTGACCAAGAGTTGATGCAGCGATGAAAAAGCATGAGCTTTGCAGTCTATCAAAAATGGGGACAATGTCTGCTCTGTAGCTTTCCAGCTAGGCGACCTTGGAGAGGTGACTCTGTCTCAGAGCTCCAGTTTCTTCATCTGTGAAGTGGGAAAATAACACAACTTTATTGTTATCATGGAATGAGGTCATTATTTAAATCATTTAGCTCTGGGCTTGGTACATAAGAAGTGTCAGTCAACAGGTCAGGGTTGCTGTCTTTCCCATCACTGGTGGCAGTCTTCTAGGTGAGGAGCTGGGTGAGGGTATGGACATTTAGAGGATGTGACTGGAGAACAGGGCATCTAGCTGGCCTTCTGTATTTACCTGTTCTGCATCTGCAGATTCAACCAAGGGTCAAAAAAAATTTTTTTTCAGTCAGATGTGGTGATGCATGCCTTTGATTCGAGCACTCAGGAGGCTGAATCTCTGTATCTCTGTAAGATGGAGACCAGCATGGTCTACATAGCTGAGGTTACAAGGAGACCTTATAAAAAAATTCAAATTGCATTTTGGAGGCTGGAGATGTGGCATAGTTGGTAGAGTATTTGTCTAGCATGTACAAAATTCTGAGTTGGCTCTAGAGTACTTGTAATCCCAGTATTCTGGAGGTGGAGGCAGGAGGATCAGAAGTACAAGATAATCCTTGGCTGCACAGTTAAGTCTGAGGCCAGCCTGGGCTATATGAGACCCTGTCTCAAAATAAATTAATTGTATTATTTGTACTGAACATGTATGCTTTTCTTGTCATTATTCTCTAAACCATACATAGCATTTACAGGGCATTAGCTATTAGAAGTAATCTTAATGGTTGCATATAAATTCCATGCCATGTTTATGTAAGGGACTTGAGCATCCTCCAGTTTTGGTATCTATGGAGATGTTGGAACCAATCCCTTGTGGATACTGGGGGATGATGTTCAGCTAAGTTCCAGGTACAGATAAGGATTCAGAGCAAGAATAGAGGCCAGCTCCATAAGACAGAGAAAACAAGGGGTGCAGAGGGAGTGGCATATGGACAGCAGATGCCACTTGAGTTTAGAGGTGAGGGCCTCAGAAAGCAGAAGGCATGAGCTGAGCATAAGGGACATTCATGGAGAGGGACTCAGGGTTGGCAGATATCAGCAGCAAAGGTCAAAGAAGTCAACAGTGACAGTGAAGAGTTCACAGGATGCAAAGTCAAGTAGAAGCCAGTCCTGCCACAAATGGGTGTGAGAACCTGAGCAAGTCTGGTCAGATCCTGAACCACAGAATGTGGAATGGTGTGTCACACTGAGGCAGAATTAAGCACTCCGTTGGCCAAACACAAGGCCCTGCCCCTCACACACCTACACTGAAATGCTGAAACTCCAAAGAGGTTTGAGTCGTCACCACCCGGTTATGAACAGCTCCAGCCATTTGGCCTAAAACCCTGATCCTAAGACCAACCTGACAGGCAGCAAGAGGAAAAAAGCTGATTCTCTGTGACTTGGTTTCCCTTCTTATGAAGGAAGATGAGACCTAAACCCATTCCGTTTCTCACCTTCTCAGGATGGTACCTGGAGCCTGTGTGAGATCATGAGCCCCAGTAGTGGTGAATAGCAGCTGGCTGAATGCCCCTTTGCGCAGCTGTGTGCTGGCAAGTCAGACAAGCAGGTGAGGACACAACCGTTCCGGCTCAGGCCTCTTCTTGCCTCAAAGGGCTCCTCTAGGAGCAGGAGGTAAACTTGTGGTCAGAATAAAGCACAGCACAGTATAGGTAACTGCATATAGCGAATCAATCAACCATCCAGATGCACTTCTGCTATGCCAGTTTTAATAGCTTTTATTTATACAAGTCATGCGTGATCACTGTAGAAAGATGCAAACATTTCCTTGTGAAAATTAAGAGGGCCGGGTTTGGTGACGCACACCTTTAATCTCAGTACTTGGGAGGCAGAGGTAGATGGATTTCTGTGAGATTAAGGTCAGTCTGGTCTACATAGTGAGTTCCAAAAACCAAAACCCAAACCTAAACAAAACAAGAAAAAGGTATATGATGTGCGTCCATGCTTCATTAACAAAAACGGAAGGGTTAAGTATTGTTTTATAACATGACCTTTCTTTCTTTATCTTTTATGCTTTTGAGACAGGGTCTTCCTGTAGCCCCAGCTGGCCTGGAACTCACTCTGTAAACCAGGCTGGCCTCTGGCCTCAAACTCACTGAGATCCGCCTGCCTCTGCCTCCGAGTGCTGGGATTAAAGGCGTGTGCCACCACTCCTGGTAACAAACTATTTTTAAAAGACCAAGTAGATGTGATGGCGAGTGCCTGTCATCCCAGCACCCAGGAGACTGGAACAAGGGAACTGCCTTGAGTTCCAGGTCAGCTGGGGCTACATACGGAGTTTCCAGGCCAGCCTGGGTCACAGAATGAGATCCTGTCTCCAAAAAAAACCTAAACCAGAACCAAATAAAAATAAAACAAAACAAAAACCAAAACAGACACTCCACTTATGTAACAATTGGAGAAATTGACTTTGTATCTAGATATTTGATAATATTTAAGAATCACTGGCTAGGATGATGATACTGCAGTTATTTTTAAGTCCTTATCCTTCAGAAATACATATTGTAATCTTTACAAATGAATGATATAAGTGATTTGTTTCTAAATGATCTTGGTGTGTGGCAGGTAAGATAAAACAAGAGTCACAGATGCCTGTAACTCAAGCTTCCAGAAATCTAGGGCTGGAGAGATGGCTCAGTGGTTAAGAGCACTTTCTGCTCTATCAGAGGACAAGCACCCACAGATCTCAGCACCCACATTAGGCAGTTCACAAATGCCTGTAACTCAAGTTTCAAGAAATCTGGTGCCCCTCTGGCCTCCGTGGGTACACACACACACACACACACACACACACACACACACACACATAAGCATCCTCCAGTTTTGGTATCTATGGAGATGTTGGAACCAATCCCTTGTGGATACTGGGGGATGATGTTCAGCTAAGTTCCAGGTACAGATAAGGATTCAGAGCAAGAATAGAGGCCAGCTCCATAAGACAGAGAAAACAAGGGGTGCAGAGGGAGTGGCATATGGACAGCAGATGCCACTTGAGTTTAGAGGTGAGGGCCTCAGAAAGCAGAAGGCATGAGCTGAGCATAAGGGACATTCATGGAGAGGGACTCAGGGTTGGCAGATATCAGCAGCAAAGGTCAAAGAAGTCAACAGTGACAGTGAAGAGTTCACAGGATGCAAAGTCAAGTAGAAGCCAGTCCTGCCACAAATGGGTGTGAGAACCTGAGCAAGTCTGGTCAGATCCTGAACCACAGAATGTGGAATGGTGTGTCACACTGAGGCAGAATTAAGCACTCCGTTGGCCAAACACAAGGCCCTGCCCCTCACACACCTACACTGAAATGCTGAAACTCCAAAGAGGTTTGAGTCGTCACCACCCGGTTATGAACAGCTCCAGCCATTTGGCCTAAAACCCTGATCCTAAGACCAACCTGACAGGCAGCAAGAGGAAAAAAGCTGATTCTCTGTGACTTGGTTTCCCTTCTTATGAAGGAAGATGAGACCTAAACCCATTCCGTTTCTCACCTTCTCAGGATGGTACCTGGAGCCTGTGTGAGATCATGAGCCCCAGTGGTGGTGAATAGCAGCTGGCTGAATGCCCCTTTGCGCAGCTGTGTGCTGGCAAGTCAGACAAGCAGGTGAGGACACAACCGTTCCGGCTCAGGCCTCTTCTTGCCTCAAAGGGCTCCTCTAGGAGCAGGAGGTAAACTTGTGGTCAGAATAAAGCACAGCACAGTATAGGTAACTGCATATAGCGAATCAATCAACCATCCAGATGCACTTCTGCTATGCCAGTTTTAATAGCTTTTATTTATACAAGTCATGCGTGATCACTGTAGAAAGATGCAAACATTTCCTTGTGAAAATTAAGAGGGCCGGGTTTGGTGACGCACACCTTTAATCTCAGTACTTGGGAGGCAGAGGTAGATGGATTTCTGTGAGATTAAGGTCAGTCTGGTCTACATAGTGAGTTCCAAAAACCAAAACCCAAACCTAAACAAAACAAGAAAAAGGTATATGATGTGCGTCCATGCTTCATTAACAAAAACGGAAGGGTTAAGTATTGTTTTATAACATGACCTTTCTTTCTTTATCTTTTATGCTTTTGAGACAGGGTCTTCCTGTAGCCCCAGCTGGCCTGGAACTCACTCTGTAAACCAGGCTGGCCTCTGGCCTCAAACTCACTGAGATCCGCCTGCCTCTGCCTCCGAGTGCTGGGATTAAAGGCGTGTGCCACCACTCCTGGTAACAAACTATTTTTAAAAGACCAAGTAGATGTGATGGCGAGTGCCTGTCATCCCAGCACCCAGGAGACTGGAACAAGGGAACTGCCTTGAGTTCCAGGTCAGCTGGGGCTACATACGGAGTTTCCAGGCCAGCCTGGGTCACAGAATGAGATCCTGTCTCCAAAAAAAACCTAAACCAGAACCAAATAAAAATAAAACAAAACAAAAACCAAAACAGACACTCCACTTATGTAACAATTGGAGAAATTGACTTTGTATCTAGATATTTGATAATATTTAAGAATCACTGGCTAGGATGATGATACTGCAGTTATTTTTAAGTCCTTATCCTTCAGAAATACATATTGTAATCTTTACAAATGAATGATATAAGTGATTTGTTTCTAAATGATCTTGGTGTGTGGCAGGTAAGATAAAACAAGAGTCACAGATGCCTGTAACTCAAGCTTCCAGAAATCT